TGCAATTGGCATAGTGGTGTAGCTAGCTCATCAAGAGGGTATCAGCTACTGGATAACCAGTTTTCCATGTGTACTCACAGCCTAGGAGACTCACAACAATCAACAATAATTTCACTTTTGTTGCAGTCTGCTATCACTATGCGGTTGTGGCTGGTCTTCCTGTCTCTACCCCCCAAGAGATGGAGCCAGGGGCATGCTTCACACCTGAATGAACTCCTAATGGGTTCTATCACCATCGATGGACAGTTGTGTGTGTTTGTGTCGCACACATATTCCAGAGGAAGATGTTTACATGTACTTTATCATTCTCCATTTTATTCTTTTTTTTTTTTTTCGAGACAGGGTTTCTCTGTGTAGCCCTGGCTGTCCTGGAACTCACTCTGTAGACCAGGCTGGCCTCGAACTGAGAAATCCGCCTGCCTCTGCCTCCCAAGTGCTGGGATTAAAGGCGTGTGCCACCACCGCCCGGCACTTTATTCTATTTTCAAGTGGCACCTCTCTTCTGAACCTGGAGATTCTGCTTTTCAGTTATGTGGGCAGCCACCAAGCCCCGGTGAGCCTTCTGTCCACGTCCCACACAGTGATAGGGTTACAGGTTTGCAAAAGAGCACACCTGGCTTGTATAGGTGTTGGGATCTGACCTCAGGTATTCATGGTAGCATAGGAAGTGAACTTCCGCTAAAAAGCTTTGTGAATTAATCACTCAGCAACAAATCTGTCTTGACTCTTCTTCCACTTTCACAGTCACCTGACATAAGGTTTTTCTGCCCATTCACAACAAATAAATTCTGGCCAAATACCAAACACCCCCCATTTACCTGACAGCTGCCCGCAGGTCATAATGTAAATGCTGCGATCTGTGATTATTTTTTTGTCTTTTTCTGATTTCTGGAGTTACATTCCTATTAGGAAGCATAGGCTTTGAATGCTCTGCTTTCTGAATGATCGGACCTTACCACGGATATTATTACTAGTAGCACTGGTGAGAAAGGTTACTAAAGTCATGGCTGGCCTAGAATTTGTCATGGAGCACAGAATGGCAACCTACCTGACTCCCTAGAGCTATCATGTGCCCAGCTCATCTGTAAACTTTTCTAAAACTCAGAAAGTGACAGTTGGAAGGACTTTGTGTTAATTATCTTTGCATTGCTGGGATAAACTATAAGCAAAGCTCATTTGGAGAAGAAAGTAGTTAGATTTCAAGAGAAATCATCACAGTAGTTCAATGCCGAATCCTGAAGTGGAAACCATGCAGGAATGCTGCTAACAGGCTTGCTTTGGCTCCTCCTCAGCTAGTGTTCTTATATAGTCGGGGAACACCTGCCCAAAGAATGGTGTAGCCCACAGTGGGCTGAGCCTTTCCGTATCAACCAGCAAGCAAGACAATGCACCACAGGCCTGCCTACAAGTCAATAGGGTCTAAGCAAATCCTCAACTGAAGGTCTCTCTTCCAAGGTGACTGTAATTTGTCATGTTGATGATAAAATAAGCCAGTACAGACTTGCTTACAGGTCTCAAGTTGTATCACTGACAAATCAGAGATAGAAGACAGTTTTTACTTCACCAGCTTCATTGAAAGCCACTGAGGCCAGCTAGGGCTAAAAATTGAGAATCTGACCAAAACAAATAAGTAAAACAGCAAAAGCGGATTGGCAGATGCTAAGTACAAAACTCACCAGCTTTGCTGCTTTCTGTTTTATTTGGTCTGCAGAGGGTGTTTCTCTGTGTAATTCTGGAACAGACCAGGCTGGCTTCAAACTCAACAGGTCTCTTGCTTCTGTCTCCTGAGTGCTGGTGTTAAGGGTGTGTGCCAGATGTGAAGACTCACTTTTGTTTTTTTTTTTTTTTAAATTTATTTATTGCATGTAAATACACTGTAGCTGTCTTCAGACACCCCATAAGAGGGCATCAGATCTCATTACAGATGGTTGTGAGCCACCATGTGGTTGCTGGGATTTGAACTCATGACCTCTGGAAGACCAGTCAGTACACTTAACCACTGAGCCATCTCACCAGCCCCCTCACTTTTGTTTTTTTGAGCCAGAGTTTTTCTGTGTAACTGTGACTGTCCTGCAATCCACTCTGTAGATCAGGGTGGCTTCAAACTCAGATCCACCTTACTCTGCCTCCTGAGTGCTGGGAGTAAAGGCTTGTGCCCCCATCAGCTTCCTTTTGTTCTTTACACACAAGTTTTACTACATAGTTCTACCTGACCTTCAATTTATAGTGAATCTCCAGTCTATCTCCTGAGTTCTGGGGATTGTAGGCGCACATGACCCAACTTGGCTGGCTGGCTCTGTCTGTCTGTCCTTCTGTTTTGAAATTAATTTGATATGTACCTCTGGCTAGCACAGAACTTGTAACAAAAATCTTGTTTCCCCAACACAGGGATTGGAGACACACCACCAACTTTGGATGCTGTTATTAATTTTACTAACAAGATTTAAGCAAAAACAAACAAACAAACAAACAAAAAACAAACCCAAAACAAAAAACCAAACTAAGCTACCAAACAGAAAATAACTACATTCAGATGATAACAATTTAAACAGACCTAGAGTTCTGGGACAGTTGGCATCATCTACTAACATGATCACATGCATATTCTATAACTATTCTCAAATGCATACGATATGCATACAATAGAAATGTGTGCAGATGCTAGCTAAAAACCATGGTTCTATTTGTTGATAGCTGAATTAGCTATTCATATGACTTAAGTTTGAAAAGCAATCCAACCTTCACCAAAAGAATTCACAAATTAAGAGTAGGAACAGATGAACACTTCAGAGCAAACAGAAGGACGTAGTCATTCATAACAGTGTATACACATCTCAGATGGTATTAAGGAAGCCAGACGAAAATCACTATGATTACAACCAATAAACTAGTCACCATGTTTGGCAGTCCTGAGAGTTGTATCCTGGGAGGGCCAGAGATGAAGAAGAACATGATGAGAGACTGCTATAGAGGCTATAATCTTCATTAAATACATCAAGGTAACACAATTTGTTTTCTCAAATGTGTATTGCTTTTTAGTAATATTTTATGCATGTAATTAGTATGAATGCAGGGATAAGCATTATACAGCAAGGATGTAGACAACGTTTAGGAACCTTACTGAACCATTGTATAGCCCTGTATATGTACACACACACACACACACACACACACACACACACACACACACACACACCAGCTTGATGCAAATTAAAAAAAAAATACCCTCTCACAATGAATCATCCTTTCTATTACATGTTTGATGTGGAAAAGCCTATTTTGGTGAGAAAGTGAAGACAAAACTGACCTATGCCTTATAAAGGTGACTTGATTATCAACACAGTTGCTAGTATCATCTCACTAGGAAGAGCTGCATTTAAAGTCCTCTGTGACAACCTCTCAGCCCCCGGCAGCTCAGTGTGAACCCTGGCTGCTCTAAGGCTAGGCGGCCTTGCTGTGATCAGGTCCAACTGCAGAGAAAGGACACCGAGGAATACACAGAACGAGGACCACCACAGCAGCTCAGAGTACGGCCAAAGCTTTTAGCACAGCGGCTCCGTTTTGAAATAATTACTGTGCTTGAAAAGTAACAATTCAGTCCTGTTGAGGATATGTATATTTTAAAAACACAACACTGGACAAAATGAAGCTCTTAAGCAGAGATTTTAAGATTCACTGAAGTGTTCCGAGAGGTAGAAAGTACCCTGTGGTGCGAGCATGTCAGATTTCAAAAATCTGATGATATAGATTCCCTCCTTTTTTTTTTTTTCTTTTCTTCCCTAGACAGGGTTTCTCTGTGTAGCCCTGGCTGTCCTGGAACTCACTCTGTAGACCAGGCTGGCCTCAAACTCAGAGATCCACCTGCCTCTGCCTCCCAAGTGCTGGGATTAAAGGCATGTGCCACCACCGCCCGGCGCCCTCCTTTCAATTAAAAAAAAAAAAAAAAAAAAAAAAAGATTTATTTATATTCTTATATGCACTGATGTTTTGGCAGCATGTATGTCTGTGTAAGGGTCTGGAACTGAATGTGAGTCTTCTTAATAGTATTAGGCGAGTTCATGGTGGTACGGCTATAGACTAACCTAGGTCCTCTGGAAGAGCAGCTAATGCTCTTAACCACTGAGCCTTCCCCCAGTCCCATTTGTTTGTTTTTGAGTCAGGGTCTCTTTACATAGCTGATCTGGAACTTACTATGTACACTAGACTGGCCTCGAACTTAGAACTCTTCCTGCCTCTGCCTTGTGAGTGTTGGAATTAAAGACCTGTATGACCATGCCCAGTTATGACTACTTTTTTTTTAAAATTAAAACTAGTAAAATTAACCAAAGTATACTTTGTCCTGTCAGTAAGATTCACATTGATAATATAAGCTGTTAGATCACAAGTGCATTCAAATATGGCTTCTACAAGCAAATATGATTGGTAGCTTCTAGAAGACAGCATTCAGAAATCTGTTCTATGAAGAACACAAGCTTCCCAAGGCTTTAAAGAGTCTTCCTGTTTATTGCTCCTTTTGCATATGTTGGAGAGAAGATGTGCATTTCATTTAAAAAGCTCTGGAATCTAGGAAACATTCATGATTGAGGTTCAAAAAAAAAGTACACATGTAAAAATGATACCAGTTTATAGGACAACTATGAAGAAAACAGTAACCAATTATCTCATATCCATGAGAATATATTAAAAATGGTATAAAGGTAATGAGTCATGAAAAGTTCATTGTATCTTCCAAGTTTACTTGAACGTATGCAGTATATACAGAGTCTAATAATACTTTCCTGAACCTGGTGGTAGGGCTCAGTAGACAGGGTCTCATTATGTACCCCAGGCTGACCTGGAACTCCTAATAACTGGCTATATTTATGTGATGGTAACACTAGAAGCCACTTGTCTATGATTCTGTAGATGAAAATGGAACAGGTTTTGTGAGAAACGATTCCTTGGCATGTCCCATGATGAAGATAGACAAATGTGACCTGTTAGCAAAGCTTTCCTCTTACCTGGTTGGGGAGGATGGGGTGGCGGCATCTGATGGTGCATCAGGGGGTAGGGAGGAGGCTGCTGATGGGGCATCATGCCAGGGTGGCCTGTGGCCCCAAGTGGGGCCATCCCAGGTCCTCCCGAGTGCTGGTGTGCTTGCTGAGGTGTCTGGCCATGCTGCTGCTGTTCCATTTGCTGCCGAGCACGTAGTTCAGCATATTTCAATTGTTCCATGTGGAAGTTCTGTCGCTCAGTAAGCAACTGCTGTCTCTGTTGTTCTAACTGTAATAAAGGAAGTAGAAAAAAATGCTACCAAGAGGCTTCTCGGGATTGTATAACAAACCGGACATTTATTTGATGTTTGAGTTCTATCCACACCACACTACAAGAGACCCCTTACCAGGAATGTCCCTATATTTAGTCCAAAGTCTGTTTTCCTTGTACTGTACAGTACTGTACAGCATTGGGGCAAATGCCCTTTGGCCCTACTTTTCAAAGACTGGGAGGCTTTCTTCTTCATCATTATCATCTTTATCAACTTATTAATTATTATTATCATTATTAGTATGAAACTAATTATCATGAGCAGTACTGGAGACAATATGTAGCTATGTTGTTCAGGCTGCCACTGCATTTCTAGGCTCAAGCAATGCTCTTATCTAAGCTTTCAAATAGCTGGGACTAGAGCCATATGCCACTGTGTCTGGGTAAGCCTGTAGGTATGTATTATTTTATTTATTTACTTGAAGACAGAGTCTCACAGGATAGCTTCAAACAGAAATCTGCCTGCCTCTGCCTCCCAAGTGTTGCAGTTAAAGACATGCCCCAACATGTCCAACTGGGCTTGCAAAGGTTAAAAATACTTCCCTAGATTTTAAAAAAAGTCTGCTACTTGTTCTTCACAGGCAATATGTTCGAGCTTTCCAGGTGCTACCTTCTGGATGTGATCTATTTGGTCACTGTCTATTTTAGAACATAAAATGTCACAGAGGTGATATAACCTTAGGTACACATATACTTTTTGTTTTTCTATATAGAATGTTGGAATGGTATGGCAAAGCAAACCTTAGCTAAAGTTACACTGAGTGACAAACTCACAAATTTTGACTAACTAAATAAAATTTTTTATGGAATTTGAAAGTACAAGCATTTCAATATTGAGGGCTAGAAAATGGCATATAGTTAGTTCAGTGGCAAAGCATGTGCATACATCCCTGGGTTCCAAATGCCACAAAACTAAATAAATAAAATTAAGAAAAATAGCTAGGTGAATGGGCAATCCAAGTACCCAGGGGCTGGAAGTGGGGAGATCAAGAGTTCAAGGTCCTTCTTAGGGTTTAGTGAGTTTGAAGCCAGTTTGGGTTGCAAAAGATACTGATTTAAAAACAAATTTTACTGTTATGTGCAAAGCAAAAACAGAAAGCAACAACAAAAAACCCACAACCACCCGAGACCATAATTAATAGTAGCTGAGCCACTGAAGTACACCTTACAATTGGAGTGGATAAGAAAATCAGGCTAAATATGAAAAAAAAATGTAAAAACTGTGACTATGGAAAAATGAAGCAAGTGCTCCTCCACACGAGGCCAGACTCCAGTCTTCTCAGCAGTGACCCAGAGGCACCTAGGTACTGAGCATTTGAAATCGAAGTGAATGGAGATGGGAGAGCAGAGGATGACTGGAATGAACTGGTTCTACATACCCTGTGGATCCTGGAAAGTAAACTTAGGTTAAAAGTACCTTACCAGTTGAACCACGCTACTGTCCAGTGAAATAATAACAAACTCATTTTAATTACAAGTAGAACCAGAACTGTCATATTAAATTACTGTAATTTCAGTTGTTTTAAACTTCTGTAACATGCTGGCACAAAAGTCTTAATCACATGTAAGGCTCATACTTTACTTCTGTTGACTATCACTATTTTTAGTCACTCAATAGGTTAAGGAAATGTAATGTTTTGGCTTTTAGGAGGAGCCAGTTCTGTGAATAAATACTAAACACTAGGTAGAATAAGCATGACAATTAACTTACAGATATTGTCAGCATAGGAAGGCCTGATGGACGAAATGTCACAGAAGGAGAGCTACATTCGAGAGAAGAGGGAGATGGATGGCGGTGGGAGACGCTCCAGTCCTCACCCTGAGAGCTGGTCAGATGGTTTGCAGAGTGAGACAGAGCTGCCATGTAAGGCTCCTGCCTGCTTGGTTGGACTTTTATTATATAAGAAAGGACCCAAGATGTAAATATTGTGAGAATGCTCAAAAACTTCAATTCTGGATGACTACATAGTGACACATAAGAGACTGAACAATAAAAGAAAAGTGCCGAGACTGACCACAGCCTTGCTTTCCTACTCCTAAGTATTCCCTCCAGGAAATTTAGGACTCTGCAATATCCTGAGGTCAGAACAAGGATCCCAGAAATGAATCTCTTACCTATGTCCTTGAGTCATCAGTGTTCCGCACAGCTTGGCTGTAGCCTCAGTGTGATTTAAGAACTACAGAAGGTATGTACAGCGGGCCTGCTCTGTAAACCAGCTGCACTACTAAAGAAGAGCAGGCGCTCTCTCTAACCTGTGGCCGCATCCTGTTTGTCTTCTTTATCAAATTCTTTTTTTTTCTTTTTTCTTTTTTCTTTTTTCCAAGACAGGGTTTCTCTGTGTAGCCCTGGCTGTCCTGGAACTCACTCTGTAGACCAGGCTGGCCTCGAACTCAGAAATCCACCTGCCTCTGCCTCCCAAGTGCTGGGATTAAGGGCGTGTGCCACCACCGCCCGGCCTTTTTCAAATTCTTAACTAGCATTTCTTTGGTAGCTTAAATTCATTGATGGCTTCAATATAAGAAACAAAACAAAGAAAAAGCCTCTTAGAAAAGGAAAATGGGAAGAAAGAAGTCAAATATGGTAGAATGTGTCTAGTGCTAGTCCTTGAGATTTAGGGAAGGGAATTACCAGTTTGAACACAACATGTAGACCCTGCATCAAAATCCACCAGAAAGACAAAGCCACCTACCCTCAATTATATTAATTTCTAAAGATTACTGTCATTTTATTCTTTTTTTTTTTTAAGAGGTGGGGCAGGGATGGGTATGAGGAAGAAGGCTTTTGACTGGGTCTCTCTTATATCCCAGGCTAGTCTGAGAAAAAAAAAAAATCACAGCAATGTCCTGGCCTTATCCTTCTTGGTGTCTTAAAATACACAAAGTAATTAAAAGGAAGTAATTATGCAACAAAAAGTAAAAAAAGGCATGTGATTAAATACACATACATACATCTGAAAGAAAACCCAGTTTAAATTGAAAGCTTTAATGTAGGACAAATGAGTCTCCTGAGGTGAGGGTTAGGACCCAGATTGCCATTCCCAGCTGGCTCCAGATGGCTCTGGACTCCCAAATGCCCTAGGCTCATGTCTGTTATGTGTCAGAAGCTGCAGATTTTAAAAAGCTGATATATCCTGACCTTACCAAGTATCCCCAAGACTGTATGTATAAATCCACATAGGTACCTAGTATTTGATAAAGGTGCCAAGATACAAAAGAGAAAAGATTGTTCGAGTAGTTATGGGAAAACTAGACACCCAGACATAGAAGAATCAGTCATTAACCTCTCTTTTTCATTGTTTAAAAAAAAAATTGAAATGGTAAGCTTAAGTTAAGACTAGAAACTCAGTTTAGCATGGTGATACATGTCATATCCCAGCACTGGGAGGCAGGCAGATCTCTTGAGTTCAAGATAGGGCTACACAGCCTGGCAGTTGTTGCTTATGCCTTTAATCCCAGCACTTGGGAGGCAGAGGCAGGTGGATTTCTGAGTTCGAGGCCAGCCTGGTCTACAGAGTGAGTTCCAGGGCTACACAGAAAAACCCTGTCTCGAAAAACCAAAAAAGATAGGGCTACACACACCTAGACCTACACACACACACACACACACACACACACACACACACACACACACACAATCTTATCTTGAAATCCTACCACCAAAAGGCTATCAACTCATAAATTGTAAAAAGAAAATAAGATACAAACATGGCCAAGTGTGGGAGCTCATGAATTTCAGCCCAGCATTTGAGAAGCTGAAGCAGATGATGTACCATGAGCTTGGGGGTAAGCCACCATTGCTGAATGAGCGAGCCCTACCTCAAAAAAAGGAATCAGTATGAAGTTCCCTAAAACAAAAAAAATACTTACAAAAGAATCCAGGTACATACATCCAAATCTACACCACACAGAACGCTGCATGGTTCTTACAACACCATTTAACAGCCACGGCATGCATTGGCCTAGATGTCCATCAACAGGTGAACAATTCAAAGAAAATGTGCTGTTTGCACACACTGCAGCTTCGCACCGCTATACAAATGTTTACTCATTCTCAGTAAAACAGGCTTAAACAGGCTTAAACAGAGACAATACCGTAAGCCTATCTTATATGTAGGAACTTCAATGTAAATGTTCCTGTGAAGCAGAGATGAAAGTAGTGGGTGGTGATTTGGTGGAAGGAGGGACACCAGAAGGTGGGGCATGGGGAAGGCTGAGCAAAAACAATGACTCATGTACATAAAAGAAAAAAAAAGTCATAATGAAATTCACTATTTTGTACACTAATGAAAAATAAAAACCACCACCAACACCAAACCACCAGAGAAGAATTAATGTAAATTTTGGTGTTCCAAATAACAAGATTGTAGTAACATTCATGATCCTCAGGAAAAATGGGAACAAAAGTTGGTAGTGTTAAGGCATACCTTAAATGTATCCACCCACTGAGCTATGATTGGACATCTGGAAATGTGTCCTAGTGAATTATTCATCTGTGGCCATAAAGGCAGTCAGTAAAACATTACTTTCATCCACAGCTATATCAGAAACTGAGTGGGAGGAAAACCAATTTCCAACAGAAAATATTTATAATCCCAAGTACATACAAATGGTCTGATCATGTATAAACACAATGAGAATGTTCTGGAAAATACCAGGATAATAATGACTACCTTTAGGAATGATGTTATGAATATTTTATGACACATGTGGCATGGATAACCTTTGACAGAAAAGGTCACATTTTAGTTTTAATCACTCCATTTATGTGAACTGTCAAGAATAAGCACACCTACAAAGAGAAAGTAGATAACACCAGGTAGGAGGCAGGGTGTAGGAAGACACTGATACCATCAGAGAAGGGAACAGTGCCAGAATGGGCACACTTATTTAGGGGGATAATTCCCCCCCCCATAGATAATGATGACAGTTGGAAGCCCCATCCCTATTCTCAAAACTAGAAAGGTGCCCATGTATTTTTGGTTTTTGTTTGTTTGTTTGTTTGTTTTAGAGACAGAATTTCTCTGGCTGTCCTGGGAATTTTCTTTGTGAACCAGGCTGGCCTCGAACTCAGATACCCACCTCCCTCAGCCTCCCAAGTGCCACCATACGAGGCTTCCCACTGACTTTCTTAATCCTTAATATGTATGTGAAGGCATGTACCATAAAGATCATATGGTAGGTAACCAGAGGAAAACTTGTGGAAGCCTCTCTTTGGTCCCAACATTTGAGATTCAGGGATCACTGGCTTTGTCTAGTTAACATGGTTCTATGAAGCCCAGAGCTGTGGTATATGCCTATAATTTCAGAGCCTGAAGGCTGGGGCAAGAAGAATTTGCATTTATGATCTCACAGACACCCTTTGATGTATTTATTATCTAACACCCTTTTAAACAAACAAACAAACCTAAGTATGTATTTACTCTTATTGCCAAAGCTTATAATTAAGGAATGGTGAGATGCCCTGTATGTAAGGGCATCTATTCCCAAATTTGATGACATAAGTTTGATCCCATAAATCCATGGTAGAAAGAGAAAACTGACTCTAACAATCTAGTGGAGAGTAAGAGGAGGCAGATCTGTGAGTTTAAGACCTTCCTGATTCATGTAGAGAGTGTCAAGCCAGTCAGGGTTATAGAAGTAAGACCCTGTTTCCAAGATAAAAGAATAAAAGTAAATTAAAGTTAAGGTTGGGCTAGTGAACTGGCTCAGGGGATAGAAGGTTTGCTTCAAAAGTTTGAGTCCACTCAAAGGTAAGGACAGAATTGACTGTCAGCACCCAGAAGGCTGGGACAGAAGTATCTCAAATTCAAATTCAAGGCCAGCCTGCACTTCATGAGATCCCTTTCCCCCTTCCACTCACAAGTGCTGTCTAAATATAATAAAACTACAAATAACTATTTAAAAAAATAGTAAGCTGTCCTTTAATTTTGGTTTCTTGTTGGAGACAGAGGGTCATGCGGCTCCTGACCAGCCTCAAATGGGCCATGCAGACAAGAATGACCCTGGCTCCGGAGACTCCTTCCTGACGTCAGGAGGGCCAGAATCACAGGTGTTCCCAGCAATGCCAGGCTCTGTCCCTATGGATACTTGAATTTACTCTGGCACCCCATTTCCTAGGAATATAGACGAAAAACAATACAAATTACTCATGTTAGCAAGGTGTTAGTGAACTTGCCAGCTTTCTCGTGACACAGTTGGGGTGAGTTACCTCTGTCCAGTGTCATCCACGGGGAGCCCACACTGAGCACTCTTCAGCATTCAGATACTCAACATAAACACAGCTGCAGCATAGCTGAAGCTCAGACAAAGCTCGTCTCCCTGCCTCTATTTGGGTAAAGCAAGAGGAGGGGGCAAAAAAGAAAAAAAAAAATGGCAGGAAGACTCTGACAAAACTCCATCCACATATACTGCCAAGCACTCACTCATCGGCTAAGACCAGAAGCCTCAGAGCTAGAGTTAACAAGCAGCCTCTGCTTCAGTAGTTGGTGCTGACTATAAAGGAGTTTATCGGACGAAAAAAAACCAAGCTAAAACACATAGCCAGCCTATTACATTGAAGAAAAAAAAAGAAAACCACTAAACTTTGTTGTTTCTATGTGTGTTTCAAGCTGAGTCTACACCATTTTGATTAACTACCATTTTGGTCTTGTTGCAGTATGCTTTAGAAAGGAAACTGTGGGATAGGAGGGTACACACCTTTAATCCCAGCACGTGGGAGGCAGAGGCAGGTGGATCTCTGTGAGTTTGAGACCAGCCTGGTCTACAGAGTGAGTTTCAGGATAGCCAGGGCTACACAGAGAGACCATGTCTCAGAAAGAAGAAATATATGACTGATGTATGGATTTCTAAGACACAAACAATACAATGTAATGGAGTCCAGTCAAAAACAAGTTAAATTATTAAGGACAGTAATACACATAAGTTATGGGAAATAAGAAGAAAACAAAGACTGGAGAGATGGCTCACTGGTTAAGTACACTGACTGATCTTCCAGAGGCTCTAGGTTCTATTGCCAATACTGACACGGCAGCTCACAATCCTCTGCACCTCAAGTTCCAGGGGATCATTTATCCCCCCCCCCTTCTGCTCTCTCTGTGCACATCATGCACACAGTGCAGACATGCATTTGACACAACACCCATTAACATGAGGGGAAAACCTTAATAAGTTAAAAACAAAGAAGAAAAGCACAGTTAAAAATAACTCTTCTGGCCAGGTGGTGGTGTCGAGCGTCTTTAATCCCAGTACTCGGGAGGCAGAGGCAGGCGGATTTCTGAGTTCGAGGCCAGCCTGGTCTACAGAGTGAGTTCCAGGACAGCCCGGGCTATACAGAGAAACCCTGTCTCGAAAAACCAAAAAAAAAAAAAAAAAAAAACAAAGAAACAAAACAAAAAACAAAAGACAAAACCTCTTCTGGAGACTGTGAAATCACAAACCATAACAAATCTTATAAAATCTACAACCTGCTATTAAAGATATTCTGTTAGTTTTACTCTCAAAAATATAACTGGAAAATTATCACTTCCTTCATTTGGAAAGTTCTGGTCTAAGTTACTGCCTCACAAGGGCTCTTTTCAATCTACCTCAGTTTCTCTAGTGCCTAGCCTCTGACCCAGTCACCAGCTCATCCAGTGGTTATTCCTCATGTCTCTCAACAGGAGCCTTTGATAGCATCCTCACTTAGTGTAGTCCACATCTGCTTTAAGTCTCTAGAAGAAAACCAAGCAACTTCATATCCATATTTAATCCTAAAAGTAAGAAAACCTAAAACAATTTATGGCAACTTAAAACAAATCATGTTAAAAAAAGAAAAAGTCTGAAAGCAACTGTGTTGGGGAAAACTGAGACAGAATGGACCATTCCTTTTAGGAATGAATCCTAAAAGGAAGCAAACTGACTTGCTAGTTTTCCAGTGTCAAAGTCATATTTCACAGGAAAAGTAAAACAGAAGTCTATACACAACTCTGAGACTTTTGGTTAAAACAAGGTAGTAATGGTCTATTTGTTCCTAAGTTATAAAACAGCAGATAAATACATATTTGACATCCCACTCTAATGGCACATGAGATGCTCTTAACTTGCTTGTCTAGGATCCAGTCTTGCCCGTAGGATGAGCTAACAGCACTGATTGATCAGCATCATTGTTGGATTCTTCAATAAGGACAATCAAAATAATGGATATGTATGTTTCTAGTTCTGTTAACGACTTTTCAGAAGATACATTAGAATGTAAGTATGAGTACAGCAACATAGGGACCGACACAGCTAGTGAGCTCACACGGCTAACAGTGACTAAGACAAGATGTCATATGGACTTGCTCAATTGCAGCCTGTGTAAATGAAGGCATTCATGTATGTTCATATGGAAGCAGCAGAACTTAAGTAGCTTTGGCAAATGCTGCTTGAGGCTCAACCTCGGCCTAATTCCAGCTACCAGTCAACCTACAGAAGAGGGAAGAAGGAGCAACAGAGATAAATAAAGCCAAAGGTAAAATGTAATGAAGACATTGTAGAAAAATGGGTCTGTATATTAGAGACAGGAAAATCAAGAAAAAATCCTGAACCGGACAGTGGATTTATAAGGTTTTACTTTATCGACAAATACATATAATCAACATTTATAAAAGGGAAATTTAATAAAAAGTATATTTATAGCTAAGACAGTTAGATTATAAAGTAGATAGAAAAATCCTGATTTATAATCACTAGTTCATCAAAACAGGAAATGACAAACTATCTAGAGAGCAAGGTTTCCATCTCGGAAGGCACACCATCTTAACACCCCATGCAACTCCCTACTCACAGCTTCTTTCTCTCTGTCCATAATCGTCTCCAGCTCTTCAAAATGTCGAAGTTTGATCTCTAGTTTCTTCATCTGTGTCTCAACCAGGAGAGCTACCAGGGACTTGATCTTTCTTTCTTCCACAGCCGCCAGGTGCTAAAGGCAAAGACCACTCCAATTATTTAAGAAAATGTTAAAGTTTAGAATAAGCTTTAGGCTTCTACTTTGATTCTTCCAAAGATTTATATCAGATGAAAGTAATAACACTCCTTGGTTCTATCACAGAAGATTTCAGTTTTTATAGACACAAAAAATACAAAAAGGAAAACTCTCCCAAGGGGGGAGGCAGCAAAAAAAAGTTTTTTAGCCATCAGAGTGGCTGGCTGGGTAAAGGTACTTTTTTTTTTTTAACCTGAAATACTGAAATCAACCTAGAGAAACCACAAGACAAAGAAAATCCACTCTCACAGATTGTCATATGACCGCCATACCATAAAACACTATACAAAAACCTGTATTTTCAATTATGCAACATTTAAGACTCAAGAGAACATCTGATTTAAGTCTCTAGAAGAAAGCCAAGCAACTTCATATCCATATTTAATCCTAAAAGTAAGAAAACCTAAAACAACTAAAACAATATATGGCAACTTAAATAAATGAAACAAATCATGTTAAAAAAAGAAAAAGTCTGAAAGCAACTGTGTTGGGGAAAGCTGAGAAGGAATGAACCCTAAAAGGAAGCAAACTGACTTATTAGTTTTCCAGTGTCAGAGTCATATTTCACAGGAGAAGTAGGACAGAAGTCTATACACAACTCTGAGACTTTTGGTTAAAACAAGGTAGTAATGGTCTATTTGTTCCTAAGTTATAAAACAGCAGATAAATACATATTTGACATCCCACTCTATGGCACATGAGAGGCTCTTGCTTGTCCAGGGTCCAGTCTTAAGTTACTCACAAGAATTAAAGGCAATCCCTCTCATAGCACACTCTTCCAATAAAAGAGCCTACCAAGGAGAGGAGGCTATGCAGCCCGGGCTGTCTATCTAAGTAGCAACTGTGTAACGCACATATATGTTATAGCTATTGTTTTGTTGTTTTTGCAGCACAGACTGTCCTGAAACTCACTGTATAGACCAAGCTGCGCTAGAACTCACAGAAATTCACCTAATTCTGACTCCCAAGTGCTGAAATTAAAAGTATGCATCAATACACAAGAATAAAGACTCTTGATTAGCTATACCTACCTATATACCTACATACCCGAACTGAGAACCCGAATGAGCAACCAAGATATTTTCCTCACGTCTGTTCTCAACACCCTTTCTTTGCTAATGAATTGTCCAAAGATAAGCATTTTTTTCTTTGGCACCAAATATCCTAATGCAAAACTTTCCTATGTTAAGCAAATTGTGTGAGGCAAGAAAGTCTTTCATCCTAAGCTTGAAGATAGTATGCAGAACTATACATACAAACACAGGAGCAGAAGGGAAGTCACTCTGGAAGACTCTGGAAGACGGCTGAGTGACTCCACTGCCCTGAGCACAACAATGAGTTGGAGTCATGCTTTCCTGACTATTAAGCAGTACAGAGAATAAAGTGCCACATTATCGTACTTGACCAGACTCTGAATACCTGCAAGGACCAGCCTACAACAAATTTCAAAGCATATTTTGCCATATCTTTACTATTACAAGCTAAATTTATATACTTATTTCTACACAAAATTGAATAATATGTAGGTAAGGGTCGCTACCCTCTTTATTTCCTATAGAACCTAAGAGTTAATATACATTTAAGATAGGGTTCTGGAAGCAACACAGAGATTTGATAGCTTTAATTACTAGTCTTTAAAGAATATTTTATTGGTTTCTCAGACAGGGTTTCTCAGTGTAGCCCTGAACACTGTGGAAATTACGCTATAGAGCAGGCTACCCTTGAATTCTGAGATTTGACCCCTAGGATTAAAGGTGTGTACCATACACCAAGCTGACCATTTTTTTTTTCATTAAAAAATTGTGTGTATGTGCAAATGTCTGCTTCTGACTCTGTACACAGTGTATAGTAGTGTTAGTACAGATAAAGGCAACAGATCTTCTATATCTGGAGTTACAGGCACTTGTTTGCTACCTGAAGTGAGTACTGGGAAGTAAAACTTAGTTCCTCTACAAGAGCAGTGCTATCATTCACTGAATCCACTCTCTGGACTTAACTGCCAATCTTTGGCAGTGCACGGAAACCTTTCATGACATACACCAATGCCCCAAATGTACTTAAAACATCTCCAGCTGATTATCACTGTAAGTATCATGGAACTTATGATGTGATTTAAATATGTAACTTTTATTTCATTATTGAGTGGGTTATCTGTGACTGTAGGTGCCTGGGTATCACAGCAGATGATTATGGAGGTCTGATTTAGGAAGTTCTCTTTTTAAAGGGGGACTAGACTCAGGTATTCAGGCCTGAAAACCCTTTTTAATCTTAGAGGTTCATAATGTCTATTTTGAAACAAACAAATTAGAAAAAAAAAAAAACATGTATAAGACACAAAATTGAAGTTACAAACAGATGTCTATAAAATGGTGTTTCCTCTTCAGGCTGTCATACAGCCACCAGCAACCCTTCCTATGAGAGGACCAGTGTCACTCACTTCTAGTCCCATTTTTATGTGAATCTTACTGAAAACTATAGGTTTTGGCAGAAAATAGTATGAGATTTATGTAGGAATCGGAGGCATCCCCATATATTACTAAATAGAAAATGTTACAACATGTCTATTCAAAACAGTAGCTCACCCATATACAAGCTAAAAGGAGAAAAAAAAGTTAAAATAAAAAATATCAGTATCTTTGGAAATTTAAGAATGAAAACCAGAAAAATCTCAGTATTCCACATAACAAGAAACAAGTTATAAAGGAAAAAAAAACTCCATTTAAAATGATTTTGTGTTTCTTTGTGTAGGGCCAACGTTTGTCTACTGGTTGAACAACTATTCATGCTTGTTTCCATCATGGTTGGGCAGTCATGATGGTGAAATTAGGTTCTAATATTTGAACAGGTTACATTTAGGAATACATACACATACATGCATGCAATAGAATAAAAGATGTCACATCTTAAAAAAACAAAACAGGTTTTTGAAAAGTTAAGTATGACTTAGAGACAGGGTTTCTCTGTATAGCCCTGGCTGTCCTGGAACTCACTCTGTAGACCAGGCTGGCCTGGAACTCAGAAATCCACCTGCCTCTGCCTCCCAAGTGCTGGGATTAAAGGCGTGTGCCACACCGCCCGGCTTCAAAACTCTTGAGGTATAATGAAATTCAAATTAGAGGCATGAACGGTAGCTCATCAATGCAGGGTAATGAGCACATATTTCTGAAGTCAAGAGTTGAAAAAGCTTAACTTCCTGTACACGCTAATGAAAATGAAGAACATGCTCTAGATGCTGTAGGAAAAAAAATCCCATTACTTAGGCTACACATTTATACCAAACCTGGTAACAGTGTGACCAAGGGCTCATCGGAGGGATCAGAGAAGCACACAACTATTCAGGAATAAAACCTGATATGAGTAGATTGGGGTCGTGGCCACAGAAGAGATATGAATGCAATACCCACAGAAGATGAAGTTGACTTAGTTTGAGGTGGGGTTTCCAATGTGTAAATGTAATTCCTGTTGATTCCCACAAGAAGGAAAGTGACTAACGGCAGACAAAGTGGTCCAATACACCAACCTTCCTTTGCTTTGCCACCTGTGCTGTTAAATAGAGCTATGATGACATCCAAAACTAAATCCAGTTAATTTAAGTATATTCTGGCAACACCTGTGACATGTGTAGGAATAATGATGTATGTTTGAGTGGTGACAACATGTTGACCAGTTTCCATGAACACAAATCCATGTTTGCCATTGTAGTCTGTGTACACATGGAATTATGTTAAGAAGAAATCTGAAGTAAGTAGATAATGAATTTAAGAATGTGAGAGAATTTAAGAAAATTTAATAAAATGAATATATTATTCCTAAAAGACAATATAGCCTTGGTCTGAGATTTCTGGTTTATCTCCTTTTTTTTTTTCTTTTTTTTTCGAGACAGGGTTTCTCTGTTTAGTCCTGGCTGTCCTGGAACTCACTCTGTAGACCAGGCTGGCCTCGAACTCAGAAATCCACCTGCCTCTGCCTCCCAAGTGCTGGGATTAAAGGCGTGCGCCGCCACCACCACCCGGCCTGTTTTATCTCAAAAGTAATTATCAAGTCCCTTTTCCTTCTAAGCCTCAATACCCAGATAGATGGAAACGCAGCGCACCTAGCCATGTGTGACATGCCTGCACTCACTTATGTGTGAGCACACACACACACAACCCTACTGCAGTGTGGTCCAGCACAGCTTGTCAGTAGATGAAATGCAGAAGTGGACATGTTCCTGAAGGGTTCCACACAGCAACAAGGGTGTGAAAAAGCCAGAAGGAACCCATCTGTGTAGGAGCTAGATGCAGAGACTCTAATTACCTCTGCATGTGAGGGTGACAAACACTGAATAACAAAGCTGTTTATAGACACAGCAGGACAAAGGAAGAGTAAGAGAAACTTCGAATGCTTGGTGAAGCTTTGCTAATTATAGTAATTTAACTGAATTCTTTGCCCCCCTGATTACTATGCAGCACAAAAATGACTATGTGCTGTGAGCTCTATCAAATCCAGCTATAAGGCTCTAAACTGAAACATGAAAGCTAGACAGCAGAAACTCTGCACTACTGTCACAGATTTAAAGGAAAACTAGCTTTAATACTGAACACTGGAAGCCAAGAGTGGTGACACATGCCTTTAGACAAGGACCTTGGGAAGCAGGAGCAGCAGGATCTTTGAGTGGAAAACCAGCCTGGAGTGTGACCCTGAATTACAGAATAAAGAAATTACAAAGCCAGGGAGTGGTGGCACACGCCTTTCAATCCCAGCACTTGGGAGGATTGAGGCAGGTGATTTCTGAGTTTGAGGCCAGCCTGGTCTACAGAGTGAGTTCCAGGACAGGCAGGGCTACACAGAGAAACCCTGTCTCAACACCACTCCCCCCAAAAAAAAGAAGGAAGAAAGAAGAAAGAACAAAGGAAAAACCAAGGAGGAAGTCTTCTTTAATCTGCATGTTCATGAGAAGTGAACTTTAAAAACTTACTACTAATATCAGATTACATTTATATGAAGGAAAAGGGCAAGGGGGCCTGTGGAATGGCTCACGGGGTGATGAAGTATGTCTGATGGCCTGATCTTGATACCCAGAGACTAAGAAAGGAGAGAATCAATTCTGTGATGACAACTTCATCTGACCCTTACACTCATTAAACATAAGGGACACGTGGAAGTCCCTGGAGGGCTGTAACAGTGGATTTCTGGAGCAGGTGCTGCTCCCATGGGTCAGATCATTTATGAACACTTCAGAGCTGAAGGCTTATCTGTCCTACTTACTTCACTGTAAATACTTAAAAGAGATGACTCAATGGCTAAGAGCACTGGCTGCAACCCTGTCTCGAAAAACCAAAAAGGCACTGGCTGCTCTTGCAGAGGACTTGAATTTGATTGCAAGCACATGCATAGCAGGTCACCACTATCCAGTTCCGGGGACCAGATATTCTGCCCTAGTTTCAGCAAGCCCCAGGCACAAACATGATACAGATGCACACGCAGGCAAAATACCCACACCCATGAAAAACATATGATACAGACACACATGCAGGCAAAACACCCATACCCATGAAAGAACCAAACCAAACCCAGTTGTTTAAAGCACAGCAGTTAACACTGTACTGCTCTTCCAGAGGGCCTTATTCAAGTTCTAGCATCCAAAGCGAGTGGCTCAAAATTACCTACTTATCTCCCACTTCAGGAGATTCAATGCTTCTGGCCTCTATGGGGCGTGAAACACTTATGAGGCATTCACTCACACAGAAACACATATACATGATTAAAAATTAAAAACAAATAAAAGCTAACAACAAAAAAGACCGTATCAGTTGCATTGTAAGTAATGGGATAGTGGAAACGGGGAAGGATTAGGAGAGGAACATCTCACAGTGCCTGGTCCCTAGCACAAGAGTAAAAGGGCTACTACAGACTGGTACCAGAAAAGTCAGGGGAAAAAAAAAACAAAGATTAAAGAATCAAAGATCGGCAAAGGTAACATACAGGTCTGAAGACTAAGGAAGGAGGGAAGCTCTTGTTGCCTCTAATCTATTGCTGATAAGATAGTCCTCAGTGATATTATGTACAAGTAAGAATTCATACACATCTGAGCGTCCTGGAGCACACATAATCCCAGCATTCAGAGGCAAGAGGGTCACTAAGGCTACATAGTGATATTCTGATGCAAAATAACACAAACAAGCAAAACTCAACACAGTTCAGAAGCAAGGAGATGATGTACCAATAATATGACTGCAAGGCATGAAAAGAGAAAATTTTGCAATCAAGGGACAAAATCGAGAGAAAAGGGAAACAATAAAGCACACCTATATTAGTACTTACCACGCCTCAAGACACTCAAGAATGCCAGGCATGGTGGTGCATGCCCGTAATTGGGAGGCAGAGGCAGGATGGGGTAAAATGAGTAAGAGAAAAAGCATATAGATTAAAAAAGAATCTTTGAGCACGAATGGTCACTCACACCTCTAATTCCAGCGCTTGTGAGGAAGAAGCAGATGGATCTCTGTGAGTTCGAGGCCAGTCTGGTCTATATAAGAATAGAGTCCAGGACAGCTAGGGCTCTATTACACAGAGAAACCCTGTCTCCAAAAAAAAAAAAAAAAAACCAAACAAGGTATCTTTATGTACAAGAATAAATAAGCAGGATGTACATGTACTACAGTAAAGGCAGGTGTATGCCTGGGTTGACTGTGTAAGGCTGGCGCTTGTAAAGATGCCTCTAGGAAGACCTCCTCCAGGATCCACATCCACCTGGGTCAGGAGAGCACAAACTCCAAACAATAGTTCTCTGTTTTGAATTGATTTACCTGGAAATTTGCTATGAATCATACCTTATAGCTTCAACAGATTAAGTATTCATACTAGCAGAAGGATCATGAAAGAACACCTATACCCATGTGTGAGGAAATGCCCAAGAGATATGACTAGGTATGCTCCAGAAACTACCGGTTCTTGAAATCTGGTAAATTATAATGGAAGGAAACCACTCAGGAAGAATGGATGTAAAATTTTAAAAATTTCATATATTCATCTTTAGAATGTTTTAAAATGCTAAATTAACTCGAAGCGTGGGAAAATAACATTTTCCTGTCTTTTAAAATATGCAGTACAGCCAATACCCTGTTATAAATAGAAAAAAACCACCCCCAGAAAAGCTGGCAAATTCAAGAAGAAAAACCTATTTTAGGTTCTCTCTTTTCAGTCTGTAATATCAGGATGAAGTATTTATACAAAAAATTTTTTTTGTCTTAAAAATCATAAATATTTCAATCAGGTAAAAATTATTGGAACAATGGTTCCACAGACAGTTTTCTTAGACAAATTAAAAATGAAAAGATAAATGGGACCCTTAAGGGGAATTCAAACTATGCGTTTGACTGGTGGCCTTCACAAAGCTAAAGGCAACAATGAATGAAAACCCATCACCCATAGGACCGGATCTACTCTCAACACCCTCGTTCTGCCTGGGGATTTTCTTAACCTAGAAATGCCATTCAAGCAGTCATCCTGCTGGGAGGCAGGCTCTTTATACTAAATGTTCCCAATTAACTAAAAACAATATGACCATTCATGGCTTAACAGAGCACGGGAAGGGGGCTTGTGGGGCAAACCTTGGCTTTGGTAGCAGCTGAGGCCAGAGCAGCTGCTGCGGCTGTGGCAACGTTTCCTTCAGAAATCTCGTGTTCCACTTTCTTCTTCCCAGTGTCGCCGTCTCTCTCTTTACATGTATCAGTGAGCTCTTTGTTCTCTTCATTCTCCTTTTCTTCTGAAAATTATTTTTAAAAAAGCTTTATTAGGGTGTAACTGCCTCAGTGACCCATCTTAACCACTTCTCTCACATGATAAACTAGGGCTGATGTTATAAAGATTCCAACACCCCTTTTCTACTGTTTAAAGAGTTTCAGTGAATCACCTCCTGCATTTAGGTATGCATTCATGGGGAGATTTTGGAAGTGGCACACTTTGCCTTTGTGTCATTTTTCTCAGGACAGTTCCTTTGGATATAAATGGTAAGCTCAGGGAAGCCGTTTAAGACTCATATATCTGGTTCAATAAGTAGCAGAAGGATCTGAGGACGGCTCCCAAGTCTGAACAAAATCAGACAGAGAAATAGTACACCACAAGTCTGAGACAGACAACATGAAGGGGTGTTACTTCAACAGACAGAATAAAGTGGCATAATTCAGACACACGAAGTGACACCCCTCCAAAAGAACAAGGGAAATAAAAATACGAAGGAATAGGAGATAGACACATAAACACAGACAGAAGGACAAGGGAATATAAATGCTTAATTGTCAATTGAAAACAAAGAGAGAAAAAGAAGCTACCAGAATATGCACTGGTATCTAACTGTTAAATAAACCCAAGAGAAAGGCCTGGTGGTACCAAACCTTTAACTTAGCACTCTAGAGGACTGAAAAGTCAGCTTCTCTAGAGGATTAGCTTAAAGGACAGCAAGTACAAAGACTGCCTAGATTATAGACTCCAATTAGCTTGGTCAACTCAGTAATATCCAGCCTAAAAAATTAAATAAGAAACAAACCACCAAACAGGACCATGAATTTGGCCCAGTGATACAGTGTGTGAAATACTGTAGGCTCAATTATCCTTTTCCACCCTAAATCCAAAGTAAATAAAAAACTTTAGCATAGTGGCAAAAGCCTGTCAACCTCCTACTTGGAAAAAAGTGTCAGGAAGATCAGAAGTTCAAAACTAGCCTCACCTACAAAGCAAGTTTCAGGTCAGCTTGGGTTATTCAAGCCACTGTCTCAAAACAACAGTCAGGAGACTATCACAAAGTGGTCAAGAGCACTCACTGGCAGCTCTTCCCAGGACCACAGCTCCATTCTCAGCAACTGAATGTCAGCTCATAATTGTCGAGAACTCTAGTTCCAAGAGTCCATCTGGCCCCCAAAGGCAATGCACACAGGTGGTAAACGAACATGCACACAGGAAAAACACCCAAGCACAGAAAATAAAAATGAGTCTGAAGAACTTAAGCATACATGGGAAATCGATACATAAGATGTCTGTGAGTTCCAGGCCAACCCCTCCCACGCCCCAGGCTACATAGTGAGCATATAAACAAACAATCCTATAAACACTACTAACAATAAAAAAAGTTCTTAAAAAATAATAAAACATTTTTGAAGGAGAGGGTGTTTCTATGATCCAAATTTCTCAATTGCCTTTGAAAAGTTACGGGATTAACATGGTTTAAGAAGCTCTGGCCCAAGTCACCTGGCTTGACATCCTCACTGACGTCACTATCTTGTTCCTTCTCACTGTTTTTTTCATTCTCTCGATCTTGTATTTTATCACCTTCGTCTGATTCACTCTCCATTTTGTTTTCTGCCTGAAAGTTGTACAAACGAGAGACCAAGGGTAAGTGAGCAGCCTGTCAGGACTGAACTCATCTCAAGTTAACAACAGGCTTATCGCTGAGGGCAAGCAACAGACTAGATTTGGAAGAGCCGGGTAAGGCAGACTAATTCTGAGATACATACTTTTAATCAATTGGAAACCTGGGTCTGCATGAGATGATACAACTCAAGCACAGAGTGCCTGATGCTTCTGCAACCTCTGCTACTAAGACCAGGTTTACAATACCCAAGGGACATCACAGTAAACAGTATTACTTATTGATCAAAAAAAAAAAAAGCCATAAGAATTACACACACACATGCACACACAGTGGATTTTGTCCCCCTCTCATTTTCATGTATATGACATACATGTATGTGCATGCATGTTTGTGGCAATGTATGAACAGAGGCCTATGGTTGACATTAGGAATCAACACCAATCACTCATCCACCTTATTCAATGAAGTGTGGTTTCTTAAAAGTCATCTTGCTTGGGGATCCAATCTCTGCCTTCTGAGGCTAAAAGTAAAGACAGGCTATCACAGGCACTGGGCTGTATGTGGGTGCTGGTGATCCAAGTGACAAGTGTGATCAATCCAGATCTCAATTAGTGGATTTTCTTTTTGTTTTCGAGACAGGGTTTCTCTGTGTAGCCCTGGCTGTCCTGAAATTCTCTCTGTAGATCAGGCTGGCCTCGAACTCAGAAATCTGCCTGCCTATGCCTCCCAAGTGCCGGGATTAAAGGCATGCACCACCACTGTCTGGCAATTAGTTGTTTTAAAAGGCTGAAAGCACTTGACTGTCACTTGATGAGGCTATTTTAAGAGTTAAACTGAAGAGGCTGGAGAGATGGCTCAACAGTCAAGGGCAAGCTATTCTACAGGTGGCCCAGGAGGAAATCCTAGTATCCTCCACTTAGCCGCTCACAATCACCTGTAATTCTGTAAAAGGAAACCAGATGCCCTCTTCTAGCTTCCTCAGGCACCAGGCATGCAAGTGGTGCAAATGGACAAGCAACACATACATACACACACTGACCAAGAATAGATAAAATAAATAAAAGCAGGGTACAAGGGCTCAGCACTGAGACGACACATGGAGGTGAGGACCTGTATGTTTGAGGGGCAGTGATCTACAATTGTGAGTTCCAGTCAGCAAAGCCTCACAGTGAGACTGTGTCTTGACACAAACACAACAACCCAAAACAGAAGAATTAAATGAAATTACAAATGTAAAACTACTGCTGATATCTGGAACACTACAGGAATTTTAACAATTGAGTTAAATGTAGTCTGTCCTTATTTATGCAATCATACTACCACATGTAATCAATACCTTAAGTCCCCACTACTCATGTATATTTACACATTGATTCCAGATTCTCCAACTCAGTTGTTACAGTTTTTTTGCTCTTTAATACCTACCTCAAATGTCAGCTTATCATCAATTATTTACTAAGTATTCTTCTATTGACAGTTAACTCTCCTAGGAAATCATTTAGTATTCTGGAACAAATATAAACTCCAAGTCCTACAATTCATTTCACAAAAACCAACTTTTGTATTCATACTCCCAATTGTGCCTGAACAGGGCACAAAAGACAAGGATGGGCTGTGGAGGGAACAGGTGAAGAATCAGTGGCTGCAGTGCACACTATGCTCTGCTAGACTGTAACTTAAGGAAAAGCCACTGGTAGTCCCCTGAAGGTGACTTGACGTATCATAAAATCTGAAAACCAGCACGTGGAGAAGGTACTATATTGCTTTTGGTGACGAGACATCTGAGTAGCCTTTACCTTTTCAGGCTGCTGACCATCAGGATCTGTTTCCATCTTCTCTTCTTCAGACCCTTCTACACATGGAAAAATAAAAATAATATGGAAATAGGTAAAAATCAGTGTATTAGAGCAACTGAAATATTTTTCTGTTTGGTATAACTACTAATCAGTAACTTGGCTGCAAAAGAAGCTGGATATAAATAGCACATGGTTTACAAGTAAGTGAAAAGTGCGTGACAGTAATACTGTCAAAACAAATGCTGTCCAAAGCAGGGCAGTGGTCAAGTAAGGAAGGTAGGTAGGTGAGATACCAGGGTCAACAGTTAGGGCTGGAATCATGGTACTATTTTTTTCTTGATCCAGCGCTGTTATCATAATGATTTTCACTTGAGGAAATGCACTATGCCAACACGGATTGTCTGTCTGTCTGTCTGTCTGTGAGTGTCTGTGTCTCTGTCTCTCTCTGTCTCTCTCTGTCTCTCTCTGTCTCTCTCTGTCTCTCTCTGTCTCTCTCTGTCTCTCTCTCTCTCTCTCTCTCTCTCTCTCTCTCTCTCTCTCTCTCTCTTTACTTTTTGGTTTCTTGAGACAGGGTTTCTCTGTGTAGTCCTGGCTGTCCTGGAACTCACTCTGTAGACCAGGCTGGCCTCGAACCCAGAAATCCGCCTGCCTCTGCCTCCCAAGTTCTGGGACTAAAGGCATGCGCCACCACTGCCTGGCTCACATGGATTTTTTGTATATATTTTCTGTATATAATAATAGAAATGTTAAGGAGTAAATGTTAACTCATTTTATCTAACAGATATTTAAAGAGCACATAATCGATCAGGCATTGTAGAAACATTGCTTAGTTCTCCATTTGCTCAAACCATAAGAGGACCTAACTCTGGTCAGTGAGAGCAAAAGTCAACTAGTCTGCCACAGCACACAGGGTGTGACCTGCCTCGGCCACAGAAGTGCAAATGAGTAGGGAAGCATGAAAAAGAGGAGAAAAAAATATAGTGGGTTTAAAATCTTTTCTCAAAAAAAAAAAACAAAAAGTAGCCAGTCTACAGAGTGAGTTCCAGGACAGCCAGGACTACACAGAGAAACCCTGTCTTGAAAACAAAAACAAAACAAAAAACACAAAAAAATAAAAAACCAAAAAGCATAAGTAACAAAATGGGAGAAACCACACACAAACAGCTAATAAAGCATTCATATGGAAGATAAGCAGAAATGAGAACACAAGGAATCTGAGAAGTCAAACTGAGCTCTTTCACGGACTGGCCCAGAAAGAGGAGAGAGTACACTTAAGTGAGGCCTAGACTAGGGAAGCGCACACAAGTGACATTTCCTACTCACAGTCAAGCAGGGCCTCTCACACCAGGTAGTGCTGAATGACAGGCTGCTAGTCCAAGTAAAAACTGACACACAAGCTTTGGGGAAAACTACATATCCTAAAATGCTGCCATAGGACCTAAATATTCAAATGAGAAAGAATGTGCAAGGTTGGAGAATGTCAGTGTTCCAGATATGAAGAACAAATCTGATTAAAAAGATAACATCAGGGGCTGGAGAGATGGCTCAGTGGTTAAGAGCACTGACTGCTCTTCCAGAGGTCCTGAGTTCAAATCCCAGCAACCACATGGTGGCTTACAACCCTCTGTAATGAGATTCGATGCCCTCTTCTGGTGTATCTGAAGACAGCTACAGTGTACTCATAAATAAAATAAATAAATCTTAAAAAAAAAAAAAAAGATAACATGAAGAGTAAGGCTAGTGATGTGGGTCCATAGTCTTGATAAGTCAGCTAGTCCAACTATATGCCTAGCTACACTGTAGTTAAGAATCTGTATGGGGGCGCTGGAGAGATGGCTCAATGGTTAGGAGCACTGGCTGCTCATCAAGAGGTCCTGAGTTCAATTCCTAGAAACCACTTGGTGGCTCACAACCATCTATAATGTGATCTGATGCCCTCTTCTGGCACAAAGGTGTACAAAAGATAGAGTACTCATATACATAAAATAAATAAATAACAATCTTTAAAAAAAAAGAAAATGTATCAGAACTCTATGAATCATGGAAGCCTGTATGTACATAGATGCTTTAAGTAAGAAACAAAAAGCACTGAACCAAGCTGTCCATTAAGAATGAGTACCTAAGCCGGGCAGTGGTGGCGCGTGGCACACGCCTTTAGTCCCAGAACTTGGGAGGCAGAGGCAGGCAGATCTCTGACGTCGAGGCCAGCCTGGTCTACAGAGTGAGTTCCAGGACAGCCCAGGCTACACAGAGAAACCCTGTCTCGAAAAACCGAAGAATGAGTACCTAAACTGGATTGTAATCACACAGAACATATTTTACAGAGTGGATTAAACAGCTACTTGGAGCCTATAATACATGGATAAATTGGAAAACAAAATACTGAGCAGAAAAAAATTCTCAGGCGTCCAAATATTTCATATTTTACATCTAGAACCCAGCAAAATCATACTTAACATATGTTGTTTAACTGCATTTATTTCATGAAAATAATTTTAAAAGTATATAGAACATCATTAAAGGATAGGATTTTTATTAGTAAGAGTAGAAGGTGAGATGAAAAGGGAGGAAAAGAATCATCAGAAATGCTCTGATCTTAGTTCAGATGTTAAAATGGAGTTTCTGGCGTCGGGTGCTAGCCTACACCTTTATTAACAGCACTCCAGAAGCAGAGCCAGAGCCAGGTGGATCTGTGACTCCAAGGCCAGGATGGTCCACATAATGAGACCTGTCTCAACACTTAAGAACACATACTATGATAAGATCGGAAAAATGCAAAATAGAAAATATAGTAATACAGGTTTTTAAGTGAAAACTCCAACCATCATGGGTTAACAAATATGTATCACCATGAAAAAATTACCCACAATTTTATAATCTATTTGCACATTCTGAACGTATCACACATTCATATTATCTATGGTAAGGCAAGACAAATTTGACATCAACTTTTCAAAATTGGCTATAATTCTAAGCTAAATGGCTTAGTATCTACTTATATAATGTCTAAAAATATTTTAATTATATGTATGTATTTATCTCTTAATGCTATGAAAACAGTTTCTGTTTGGTTTGAATTGTTACTTCCACCCTATTTATTGATCTTTCTTTCTCTTCTTGCCTCCCTCCCTCCCTCCCTCCCTCCCTCCCCCCCTCCCTCCCTCCCTCCCTCCCTCCCTCCATGTAGCAAGTGCTCAATTTCATTTCATTTCACGTGTATGCACGTTTTGCCTGCACATGCCTGTGCCTCATGTGTGCTATGCAGTGGCCCTGGAGTAGAGATGAGGGGATCTGACCCCTGGAACTGAGTTATGAACAGCTGTGAGCATCCACATAAGTGCTGAAAATCATGCCCTGGTCCTCTGAAAGGCAACCTAGTATTCTTTACTTTTGGTTTTTCGAGACAGGGTTTCTCTGTGTAGCCCTGGCTGTCCTGGAACTCACTCTGTAGACCAGGCTGGCCTCGAACTCAGAAATCCATCTGCCTTTGCCTCCCAAGTGCTGGGTTTAAAGGCGTGCGCCACCACCGCCCGGCACAACCTAGTATTCTTAATCACAGGGACATCTCTGTAGCTCCTAAACAATCAATACTAGATAGAGCGGATGCAGACTCCTTTCCGTTACCATTTTGATGGTGTTGATAGAGCAGAAGGCTGAAAATCCTTTGGCTTATATTGTAGGATGACCCACATATGCAGAGTTAAGAAAATAATTGGAATGTATAAGAATTTTGAGCTTTGAGACAGGGTCCCACTATGTAGACCAGGCTGGGCTGGAACTCAAGAGGTCTGTGCCTCAGTCTCCTAAGTGCTGGGATCACAGATACATGCCACCAAGCCACACTGTAATGAATTTTCAGAATTTACTTAAACAAGATGGGACAATGCATAAACTGGGAAACAGTTGCTAATGTCATTCTAAAAATAACGTGGCTAGCAAAATCAGGATGGGAAGAGAATCAGAAATCATTTTCTAAGGGGCTGAAGGAACTGTAAAAGTTAGATCAGAAAGACTCAAATGCTTGTAACACAAAAATGTCTTATAAAATAAGTTCTGAATAAGTAATGAGGTATCAGTCATCATTTCAATCAGCTCTGTGGTTATCTACTAAGAACCCCCTCTGCATGCCATCTGTAAACTACCTATAGTTCTACTTGTCACCTTACTTGATAAATACTTCATAGCAAGAGGTATGTATATATTTATCAAGGAAAAAAAGTACCTAATTTGCCACAACAGACCTAAAAAGGCAATTATATTTTAAATAATAAAACTGCACTACCTCCCTTGCACAAAGTAAGAATAATCATAAAGTCACTTAAATCTTACCCAGTCCTTAATGGCTACAGGGTCAATTACAAACTATCTGGAAGACATTTAGACTGGGCTGGCATCAAGCTCACAAAGATCTAACATGCCTCTGCCTTGAGTGCTGGCACTAACAGTGAGAACACCAGACCTAGTATGGAAACTAGTCCTTGATCCTCTTGAATGGATCCAGTTGGCCCCTTGTCAACATAAAGACAGACTCAGATTTACACAAGACTGTTGAAGAGCTCAGTGAACAATCTGGTAATTGACAGTTTTCCTGATCATCCTGTGTGTCAAAACACAACATGCTAAAGATTCTCTAAGGATTAAAGCTGTAAATAGTAAATACTGAGACCAAGAACATAAACAGGCTTTACAATAAGACGCCTGAAAGACCAGACCTTCACTGCCCGCTGACTGCACGCTCATTCCTTCCTTTTGATGAAAGTCATGTCCTTCAAAAAGGATTGTAACTAGTAAGATGGCTCAGCCAGGAGAGGCTACCACTAAGTCTGACTAAAGGCCTTTTTAGCTCTTGCATTCTCTGCACCATGGCCGCCCTTGTCTACCCCATAAGAATACAAGGAGAAAAATACTGTATACTAAAATTAAGAGGCATACTATATTGATTATTTTGATTGCTTATATGTAAGCAAACTCCGTAATATTGCACATTGACAGGAAACATACACATCTATGAACCAAATGCTGCATGCGGCAGTGACTCACCGAGCTTCTCTGGCTCGTCAGGTCCTGTGCCTGCAATGCAGCTGCTCTCCAGGCCATAGGTGGGGTCGACTTTCCCAGATGCTCTTGCAGCTTCCTGTACTTTTTTGACATGTGCTTCAACCAATTCCAGGGGCACTTCTTCTCGGACTCGAGAAAACTCCTCTGATTCAAGATCACAAAGATAACATCTTAATTTTGCATAGATATTTGCTCCTATGTATGACTTAGATTATCAGGCACAACAGCATGAGTTTGGTTTCAGTGAGGTCATTGGGTCAAAATCAAAAATGAATCAATCCAATCACTTCTCTGGGTTTTTATCCAAAACACTGTAGTACCTTTATCATTATACTTTAAAAAGATGTTTAATGATCTATTAGTAACAACAAAAATTTCAGTCCTAATTTTACCAATCTGATGGCAAGGCTATAAAAACACCAAGGATCAAACAACCTTAAAAATAAAAATCCTGCTGGGCAGTGGTGGAGCACGCCTTTAATTCCAGCACTTGGGAGGCAGAGGCAGACGGATTTCTGAGTTCGAGGCCAGCCTGGTCTACAGTGATTTCCAGGACAGCCAGGGCTACACAGAGAAACCCTGCCTCAAAAAACAAAAAATAAATCCTATATAACATAATAAGATGTCTGGTGAAATTAGTACATTGCAAAAATATTAAGCAGCTTCCATTCTACAGGTCTACCAATATCGTAATGCCACAAAAGAGTTATTTTCCTTTATACATGAATGAAAACAATGTTTGTATATATGTTGGTTGAGACAAGATCCACTATAGTCCAAGCTGAACCTCAAACTCATGGTTCTTTTGCCTCTTCCTTCCAAAAGGTACGACTTCATAGGTGTATGTCCAGCTGCTCTTCCAACTCCACAAATACTCTATAGGCCAGCCACGTGGCTAAGCCAGAGTGGATACTTATGGCCAGGCTGACAATCCAATTCATGAGACAGACATAGTAGGAGAGAGCTCACCCTCCCCACTGCTAATCCTCTGACCTTTAGAGAGATATCATGGTAAGGTAAATGATTAAACACACACACACACACACACACACACACACACACACACACACACACACACACGACTTTAACAAGTAAAAGAAAAACCAATGTTCTTACAAATTGTATTTTCATACATTAATTTCTATGAAGCACATAATCCTTAGGGCTTTTTTTGTGAGTTATAAAAGAGAAATGTGTATTAACACAGCTGATAAAATCATTTGTATGTATATGCGGGAGTAAGATCGTGTCTGGGTGTAAGTCTGCTGGCTCAATGTACAGACATCAGGTTGATATCAACATAGATTCTATCAGTTCTCCCTGCATCTCATCTCTGACAGGATGACTAGGGAGGCGATCTAGTTTTGTCTCCCAGTACAGATGCTTACTGTAAGCATACACTGGAACTTCCAGCTTCTACATGGGCTTTGGAGATGCAAACACAGGTCCTCATGCTTTCATAGCATACACTTCATATACCTGAGGCAAATCTTGAGTTCATGGCTAATAAAATTTCAGTATGAGGTCAGACTGTGGTGACCTCCTGTGTGAGAGGGAGCCTCCACAGGAAGTACATACCCAAAGCTGCTTTTGCTGCAGCAGATGCTACACGAGGGTCAACAACAGACGCTAAAAAGGCAACAGTACTCATCACGGGGTTTCCCGACTGGCTGAACGGGACAGGCTGATAAGCTAGCGGCCCAAGAGAAGCATCTGAATTTTCAAGGTATGGGTCCTCAATGGGAAGCCTCAGAAAGTGGAGGATGCACTCGTCCTGAGTACGGCTTCCAACATGCTCCGAGACTTTATTCCAATCATCCTTGTACATCTCCAGAGCCTAAGTGAAGACAGAAACAGATCATTAATATTAAATAACAAAGGAGTAATACAGGAAAGAAGAAAAATGAAGCTGGTGCTTCTTTCCCTTCTGTGTGACAGGGTCCCACTATGTGATATAGACTGGTCTTAAACTTCTACCCATCCTGGTTCACAGGCTGGAGTGTGTGATAATAAATAAAAGGCATGCAAAACCAGGCTTGCTAAGATTCTGCCAGTACTATTTCTAAAAAAATTTTAGGTAGTGATCTAGTCGTGGTGGCACATGCCTTTTGCCACCAGCTTTCGGTAAAATGAGACTGAAGTTTTGAAGATAACAGAGAGGACAAGATTCTATTTCAAAATGATTATTTGTACTAAAATAAAAAGATAATCTGACAGTTGTCCTTATACTAAGTTGTCAATCAGGTAACAAAAAATTAATAAAATACTTGCACATTATAAAACTGTTTTTTAGGGCTGAAGAGATGGCTCAGCAGTTAAGAGAACTGACTTGCTCTTTTAGAGGTCCTGAGTTTAATTCCCAGCAACCACATGGTGGCTCACAACCATGTGTAATGGAATCCAATGCCCTCTTCTGATGTATCTGAAGATAGCTACAGTGTACTCATATATATAAAATAAATAAATTTAAAAAAATATTGTTTACACAAAAACTTTCAAAGAACCTACTCTAGGTGGTAGTTGATTACCACTAAATATCAAATTATGGGCTAAGAGTGTAACAGAAAACAAAAACAACACTTACATTTCTCTAATAGCAATGAACAGTTTTAAATTAGAAAAATATCTGGAACGGTATTAAAATGAAATAAAAATTGAGTAAAATATGTGTAAGGCCAACATGATGCAAAGAAAATCAAAGTGAGAGAAGCAAAGATAGAAAGAATGAAAGGAAAGAAAGAGACAAACATAGTCACTTCACTAGATGGCATTCTATCATCCATTCTGCTGAGTTGAAGCATAATTTATCAACAAGGATTTGGCAAGTAAGAAGGCTGAGAGATGAGGTCACTGTTTAGTAGCACAATGCTGGGAGAGAACAGACTCCAATACTGTCCTGCCCCGCCCCCACAGACACCACATACTCATACAAACACGCCAAGATCTATAAGACAGTATACTTTTTTTAAAAAAAGAATTATTTTATGTACATGAGTAAACCATTGCTGTCTTCCGACACACCAGAAGAGGGCATCAGATCTCATTACAGATGGTTGTGAGCCACCATGTGGTTGCTGGGAATTGAACTCAGGACCTTTGGAAGAACAGTCAGTGCTCTTAACCACTGAGCTATCTCTCCAGCCCAAGACAGTATATTTTTAATAAAAAGTGAGACTAGTAATAAAAGATTGAGGACAGATTGAGTCATAAAATTTAGACTTTTGGTAAAAATCCCGAAAAACCTTCAAAACAACAACAAAATATAAATTTTTATGGTTAAAAATAGAAAATATATATTAAGAAAATATAAATATAATGACAGAAATAACTTGTCTTAAACTTTTAGGGCTTGCTAATGTTATTTTTATCTGTTGGCATGATTTTCTACCATGCTTTTTTTTTCTGGGGGGCGGGGGGGGATCTGGGATTAGAAACAGGACTTTGTGTGTCCTAGGTAAAGCTTTTCCTTACCTATTTACAAATCTGGTAAATGTTTAAGTTAAACAGGTTCTCTCTCCTACCTTCATTGATTTCACATCTCATCAATATATAATCAAAGCAACCACACTTCCTCTTTCTCAGGCAGAAGGGATGGATTACTGAGAGTCCTGCCACCAGCCCTTCTAGTCAAAAGTGTGCTGTTACCTGATGGCCTACATCACAGAAACGGGTTTTCTAACAGTTCTAAAGGCTGGAAGAACAAGATTCTCACTGTACACTGAAGGCCAAGGTGCAAATATGAAAGGACAGACGGAAACTTGCTTCGGGTTCTAAGGCAAAGCATCCTATGTAGTCTAAGTGGTCCGCCACCCCCCCTTTTTTTAGTTTTTCGAGACAGGGTTTCTCTGTGTAGCCCAGGCTGTCCTGAAACTCAATCTGTAGACCAGGCTGGTCTCAAACTCGCAGAGATCCACCTGCCTCTGCCTCCCACGTGCTGGGATTAAAGGCATGTGCCACCACTGCCCAGCAGGTCCGGCCTCTTGAATGTTGGGACTACAGGTGTGCAACACCATAAAATGGTACTGTGTGGGTGTATACATGCATGCATGATGCTTTTTTCTTTGAAGGTTTTTAAGTTGTCCTATCTAATCATGGAAGGCAAAGGACTTGCAATCTTCTTGCTGGGAATAAAGGGTGTATACCCAGAAACCTGCTGTCTAAGCTAGTGTTTGCTCGACAAAAACTGCTTTTATGGATGGTGTTAATAGTACACAATGCTGCTGAGCCATATTTCTTCTTAGGTAAGGAATCAACATAAACATGTTGATAATCCCTGCCTCCTGCCTGAGAGAATAGGCAACCCCAGCATAGAAAAGAAAATGCACTACTGTTTACAGATATAGCAGGTCTCTTCAGCATCCTCAGGGCAAACTGTAGTTAAATTTGTCATAGATATGACAGATATAGCTAGTCAAGAGTTCAGATTGTGAGGTGGGATCACAGAAAGAGCCACCCGCTTAACACCAATACAAAAAGGCTGAACTAAAAAAGCTTAATAGTAACAAAACTCCTCAAGAGTTTTCAATTGAGAGGGAATGAACAAAATAGAGCAAGAAGAAACATACATGCCTGAGCTGCGAGTCAGGTAACTACCACTGGTCAGCTTACCTCTAGGAGGAGGAGAGTCTCCTGCTCTGTCCACTCCCTTCCAGCACTAGCACCTTTACTCTAAGGAAACAAGGTCAGAAATTACTTACTAGGCACAAATGTATGCAGATGGGGCTCAGGCAGGATTTCTTTATGCTCACAGAACTGTTTTATCTGGACCAGCAAGGAGCCCCCCAATAACTAAAAACTCAAAAACTTCAACATCAACAGAAGGTTTGACATGTGTCAACATCTTGTTTTCATCAGACATAGTAACCACTTACACCTTATTTCAACTTTGTAAGATAGATATATAATTTTAAAATCCATCAATAAGATTAATCATTCATAATTATGCAAAAACAGCCTATGAACCAGCCAGATGGCTGAGAGGGTGAAGGCTCCCTTGCAGGTCTGACAGCCTGAGTTTGATTCTCCAGAGCTACATGGTGGAGAACAATGACTTCTAAAAATCACTGAGAAAATTTAAGGTAAATACGCTCGCCTGCTGAACCATCTTTGTTTCTTGGTGTTTTTGAGAACAGACCTCACTTTGCTAGTCTCAAACTCAGGATAATCAGCCTGCTAAGTGCTGGGATGACAAGCTGGAGTATGCATGACAAGTTCTGGGAATGGATAACTATTCTATTGATTGAAGAAACCAAAGTTTTAACAAAACCAAACCAAAAATTTATTACATGTTGTTAATTTTACACACAATTCTATAGTTGTTCTGTATTTTTGTTTTTATGACCAAGGACGCTAGGTACAAGTGTTGGTCACCATATATGAGCTAATATGTTTCTATCATTGAATATTACTGAACATATTTATAATCTTTGAGCTAATTATATTTCTTTAAAAAGTTGTGTTAAGACTTAGAGCATTGGGCTGTGGTTGCTGGGAATTGAACTCAGGACCTCTGGAATAGCAGTCAGTGCTCTTAACCACTGAGTCATCTCTCCAGCCCCATGTTACTACTTTTATTTTGTGGAAAGATCAATGGAGTATCACTGCACAGAGGGGGAAAAATGTTCTGCATTTTATTCATGTACACCTTATTCATCGATTTTGATTATAAAATACTTTCGTATTTGGCTGGTGGGGCTAAGAACCCTGGATACTCTTACACACAGTAGCTTTGAAGTGTTTGTAACTCCACTTTGATCTGATATGACCTGATGACCTCTTCTGGGCTCCACAGCAACCACAGAAACAGAGTGCAAAGCTGTGCAACACTTAGGCATGTAAAATAAAGGGCTGGAAGACGGCCCAACAGTAAGAGCACTCTGGAGGACACAGCTTCAGTGCCAGCACCCACATGATAGCTCACAACCGTCTTCTAACTTCAGTTCCAGAGCATCCAAAATCCTCTTCTGGTCTCTGTAGGCATGATGAAAGTGTGTAATACAAAGTACAAAGACATACATCCAGGCAAACCTCTCTTACACATAAAATGCTAAATATTTAAAGTTAAATGAATAAAAGGATACTTGAGTAAGGCTGGCATGAAAGCTACCCAACACGGGAGCAGTCGCAATGGTCCAGTGTAAGGGAGCCCAGATGAAGGGAGTAGCCAGACTATGAGGGAACATGCCTCGAGCAGGGGCCTGAGAAGGAGACAACTTACCTGTTCTGGGTAGTTCAGAGACTACGGAACTGCTGTGAGCCATTGCTGACTCACAGGAAGTCTATCTGAGCTTTTCATCCCGAGAAATTTTGTGTGGTGTTTGGCATTTGCTAGTGGAAATTTACACTTTTTAACATCTAAAAACATCTTATTGGTGCGCGTGTGCGTGCCGGAGGGGGCGGGTGGGGAAGCAGCAACAACAAGCTCCTGGAGGCGAGGCTCGTGCGCCCGCCTCCGCCCTGGCCCCAGCACCCACCCATGGCCCGGCCCAGCCATGATCAAGGCCATTGTCATCTTCAACAACCATGGGAAGCCGCGGCTCTCCAAGTTCTACCAGCCTTATAGTGAAGATACGCAACAGCAAATCACCCATTTGGTATCTAAGCGAGATGAGAATGTTTGTAATTTCCTAGAAGGAGGATTATTAATTGGAGGATCTGACAACAAACTCATTTACAGACATTATGCAACATTATATTTTGTCTTCTGTGTAGATTCCTCAGAAAGTGAACTTGTCATTTTAGATCTAATTCAAGTATTTGTGGAAACATTAGACAAATGTTTTGAAAATGTCTGTGAACTGGATTTACTATTCCACGTAGACAAAGTTCATAATATTCTTGCAGAAATGGTGATGGGGGAATGGTACTGGAGACCAACATGAATGAGCTCGTCACACAAATTGATGCACAAAATAAACTGGAGAAATCTGAGGCTGGCTTAGCGGGAGCTCCAGCCCGTGCTGTATCAGCTGTAAAGAATATGAATCTTCCTGAGATCCCAAGAAATATTAACATTGGTGACATCAGTATAAAAGTGCCAAACCTGCCCTCTTTATTTAAAATATTTAAATATTTATTTAAAATATTAAAAAGGCCACTCCCAGGTAAAACCCAGAGGGAAAGTCATTTAAGTTTACCATGCAATTGTTTACCAAAAATAGAGGAGGAGAGTCTTAACTTTGCTCTCGGATTTAAGTCAAGGTACTGTATGGAAGCTGCATAAAATCAGTATGGAAGTTCAATGTTGCTTTTCTTGCTCAGTGATTTTAAAGAAATTGACTAGTTCCCGTGTGATTTTTTTTTCCTTTTCTAAATTGCATTCCTATGCCCTTATAAAGGCATGCCTCTATATATTGGCTATTACAGTATTTCGAAAACTGAGATGTTTCTTAATTATGTACAACCCAAGATGTTGATGTTTTGTATGGATCACAAGTGCAGCATTCTCTAATTCTTTCTGCTGTTTGTCACAATTGTTATTTAAAGAACCAAGTATGTATTGCATGAAAACATGACCTTTTCTTTAGTTTAAATAAACTCCAAGGTAACTGGAAAACAAAAAACAAAATAAAACAAAACAAAAAAATCTTATTTTGAAACCAATGCATGACTTAATACAGCTTTCCAAAACAGTTATTACTTTACAATATAATAGTATTTGTCTTTTGACTTCTAACCCTAATGTTGTAACATCAAGCTTTTATGCCTTTAAAATTCAATTTCTTTTCTTACTTACATCTTTACCTTCCTTGTTTTGCTTTTATCATAGTTTTAAAACTGTGCTTATCTATTTTTGAGTGAAGAGCATTATACGTGTGTTCATTTGTAAGGTAAGAGGACAACCTTGGGTGTGGGCCGTCAGTTTCCACCTTGGTTTTGGCAATGTCCTTTTTACTGTGTGCCTCTGTGTGGCTTACTCCAGGCTATTGAACTGCTACCTTTATGGGGATTCTCCTGTCTTTTCCCTTCATGTTGTAAGAAGGTGCTATAACATCTGTTTTTTTTATGTTTGCTGAGGTTCTGAATTCAGGTTGCAAGGCTTGGTTGCAACTATTGTGAAATGCTAAGCCACCTTGTCAGTCTCTAAATGTAAATATTTTTATTACTTCTAGAATAGTATTAGCCATTATATAGTCTTCAATCTTATTCCTCTACATTTTTCTCTTCCACTCATATAAATTAATTCTTGACTGTTGACATGCTTCCCCACTTTGTTCTTATTGCTCAACCCGCTTTGTAATCTGCATAGTTTGTTGAAACATGGCAGATGCTCACAAGGTTATTACATAATTCTTACTATATATTTTAACTTACTTTTCAAATTGTACTACCTTCACAAAACCCTGTCTTATTTAAATATCTATCTGCTAATCATATAAGTTACTGCTGAAAGGCCACCAGACCTGAGCAGAAACCTTGCTTATCAGAGACTGGATTTGCTATAAAATAAAGAGGACATGCGAGCAGGTGGCCGGCGTGGGTTTATAAAAGTCTTTACCTTTGCTAGTGTTTTCTTGGAGTAAATGTCAGTTCTAAGACCAAAGTTCTGCAAATCAATTGGTTTTTCCTTGTTCTTCTCAGGAAAATTTAACATCTGTTGAGCAGCAGGGACCTGTAAGGCAGATGACAAAAGGACTATATTTACTGTTTAAATGCAAAAGCATACAAGTTTTTAAAAATTACTTTGGATTGGCTGATTTTCTTAATCAGCTGGACATGCCTTTGATCTAGAGGCAGGTGGATCTTAATGAGTTTGAGGTCAGTCTAGTCTATAGAGTGAGACCCAGGAGAGTCAAAACAAAAACCACTTTCTGCAAGTTTCCACAAAAACAAAGAACAGAAAAAAAAAAAAAAAAAAAAACTGTAAGTAGACCTCCACAAGTAAACTGTCAATCATAAACTCAACATGAAAAACCCAAGTATTGCCGGGCGGTGGTGGTGCACGCCTTTAATCCCAGCACTTGGGAGGCAGAGGCAGGTGGATTTCTGAGTTCGAGGCCAGCCTGGTCTACAGAGTGAGTTCCAGGACAGCCAGGACTATACAGAAAAACCCTGTCTCGAAAAAACAAAAACAAACAAACAAACAAAAAAAAACAAAAAACAAAAAACAACAAAAAGAAACACCCAAGTATTTCTGGTGCTCTCTTTAAGTCAGAGAAGATAGGCAATTTTTCTACTAATCATATATTCTTTTTGTCAATGAAGAGGAAATACAGTATGAATATCCTATTAGTAAAGTTTTCACCACAGTAATGTTTTCAAAACAATACATTTCTACTTCTGAAATCATGAGTAAAATTATTAATGAGAATTTGAAAATGCACTTCCCAGACACAGACTTAATAAGTTTCTGTATTTTCTGTTTACTTCCTAGTGACACTGATGGCAAAGGGTTAAAGAGTAACAATAGATGTGCTAATCTCATAGGAGAAGGTCTCAGAATTGGAGTACAATATTACCTTAAACATTACATAACATTAGGAGAAATGAAAAATAAAAGAAAACCAATCCCAAACTATGAGGTACACGAAGCAGCACTAGGACAGGAGTTACCAGGCAGGCCTCCAGAGCTGTCACCACTAACTTACCTGAGGTGACCGAAGGTGCAGAGGTACAAGCCCAGAGGGTGTGTCAGCTAACACATTGAAATGAGGAGTGGGAGGAGGTCCCATAGCCATGGGACGACTTTCTGGATCAACTTGGTAGTTAACAAGACCCCATTGCTCTAAGAAGGCATGAACCCTGAAAGATGAAAACTTTAAAATTATAATCCAGAGACTCAGTTTCATCTATAAACCCACAATCGTGCAATTAAGAAACAAAACAGAAGGAAGAAAAGATGTTTTCTGCAGGCTGCAAACAGCCAAGTATCTTGGCACTGTTTTAGGGAGAATACACAACCTGAAAACAATGTCAAATAATGAATGTGGGTGTTTGTTTCTATCTTTGAGGTGGTACTACTATGTAGGTCTGGCAACTCACTATAAGGGACAGGCTGTCCTCGAAAGCACGAACCTCTACTTGCCTGTCATCCAGGGGCTGGGATTAAAGGCACAGACCACCATGGCCATCAAATAATGGTTCTTTTATTACAAAAAATATAGAACAAATCCTCTCTGGTCCACAATGAAAGAACTGATTCTCTTATCCAATACAGAGAAGGAAATCCAAATTTAAACTTTGTTCTGGGATGGTATATATACTCCCACCCAAATCCCTTCTCATTTTATAATCTGACCATAAATATAAAGAATATAATCTATGAAACACAGATTACAAAAATGAGTATTAAAAATACAGAATCCATGCCAGTATGATAAGGGCACCCAGTTAAATGGTTAGACAGGAAGTTTTGGAAGATCCATTATGTCTCCCAGCAGTCACGTCAGGCTGTTCCTAACTGCCTCGAGTTCCTGCTCCAGGAGTTGATGCACTCCTTCAGACTTCAAGCTTACCCTGGGCACATAGGATCCAGGTAAATAGAAATAACAAAAACCTTAAATACAAAATTGGCTAGCTATAAAGCAGCAATGCATCTCTAAGCACCTATAGTACAGGACTGAAGTCAAACATTTTACCTCATCACAGCACACACATCTCCAGTCAGGTTTCGCCTACAAGCAGTGCTGGTTAAATATTCTTGAGGGTTCAGACGGTATGTGTCAATCATAAAATTTCGATATGCCAAGTATCTAAAATACAATGTCAAAATGTATAACATAGATATACATCTATGGTTAAAACATTACCAAAGCCAAAACGAAAAATGCTTGACAATCATAGCAACATCCCAAAAAGACAGTAATATGCAACACATTGATACGTACCAAATGTCAACAATTCAAATAAATTCAGAACCAGTAAGATGCAAAACAAGTATACAGCACATTGAAACAGCATAAGGTAACTTGAACATTTTGTCTCTGTTGCTAAGCAGTGTTCACCATATTGTGTGCTCACCTAATACTCGAAATCACTCTATAAAATATGTTAAGTCCATCTTTCCATTTACTCAACACTGACATTGACACACAAAGCATTTTAAGAGCTGTATTGGACTGAGGGCTGGACAGTGATTTGGCCAAAACTCAACACCTCAGCTCTGTGCTCTTGATATCTGAATACTCTCACTTCTCACCAAAGAACTGTGCTCTGACACAGCAATGTGCCTTAGTCAGACCACAACTACAGAGGTCAACGCAGAGGAAGACAAGAGCATAACGGAAACAGGCAAACCCTGACTCCAGGTCACAGCAGATTCTACAGCATACTGGAGCATTTCTGCCACAAATCGGTTTTACAACTCAAGAGTGTTAAGGATCATGACATCTACCAACAATTTTTAGCAAAAACAAAAAGGTCTGAAAACACACATGGGCAGCTCTGTAAGAGCAAAAAGCCTACTGAATAAGCATGGACAGACAAAAATGACTCAGTTACAAAATAAAAAAGACTAAAATAGAAAAGTCTAATTTTAAAGAGATGACTACCGAAATCCTTACATATTTAAAAACATGAAAAAAAAAATCAATCCAGGTTTTGAAAGTCCAATCTGAATTTAGATGACTCCAATACAGTGCTATTATTAGAAGATTAGCAACTACTATCTCTGATATCAAGACAAGAGTCTCAAATTAATGGGGGAAAATAGAACCAGAATATATTTATTGTTCCGTATGATGTGCTATATATGTTTACATGGAATACTATTTAAGTCAGTTCTCCTCTAAAACAGGGTAACCACAGAACAATCTTATTATGGCACTACACACAAGCAACGGAAATAGATTAATGTTCCATTAAAGGACAGTTGTGGATTACTCGCAGAGTGAGTTTCAAGAAACAGTCTAGGCCTGATGATATACACTTTGATCCCAGCACTCAGGAAACAGGAATGCAGATCACAGTGAGTTCTAGGCTAGTCTGATCTACATACCAAGACCCTATTATAAAAAGGCAAATAAACAAACACGAATTTTCAAAAATACATGTAACAATAGGTCACAAAGAACAGATAAACTGGAAGGAGTTTGCTCAAGAGAAGAATATTTGAAATTCTAATTCAAAAGCAAATGCTTTAGAAAATTTAACTCAGTTCAAATGCAGCTGAATAATCCCATAACAAGCTTATAATAATTTATCATCACTTGGGAGGCAGAGGCAGGCGGATTTCTGAGTTCCAGGCCAGCCTGGTCTACAGAGTGAGTTCCAGGACAGCCAGGGCTCCACAGAGAAACCCTGTCTCGAAAAACTAAAAAAAAAAAAAAAAATATCATGAGGATAAAGACTTATTGCCCGCCACATCATTATATGAGAATATATGCAAATCCTAACACACAGAGAAATAATTAAAAGCTATGAGAAACTTCTAGTAAACACCATTTACTACATTCAATATTTAAGTGCTAGGATTGACATATACATAATCTGAAGTTAAGGAAGAAAAAATAAAAAAACCTAAAAATTACTTTTAGGTTAAGATGGTGCAAAAATGAATAATTTGAGTGGTGCTATTTGTAAATTAAAAGAAATAAAAAGCATTAACAACCACGTGGGAATTGTATTTGAAGAATCAGGAGAGGGGAGGAGGCTCAGTAGTCAAAAGGACTTGCTGCTGGTCTTGCAGATGGCCCAGGTTTGCTGACAGCCTTCCACAGCTCCAGCTTCAAGTGCTCTTCTGGCCTGCACAGGCACTGCGCACAAGTGATTCACATACACATGCAGGCAAAACACTTGTACATCAAACAAAAACAACAAATCCATGCTATGAACACAAAAAGGTTTATAAAACACGGGGCTCACATTTCAGGAGTCTTGGATTTGTTTTTTCCATTAAAAAACTCAGGAAGAGCACGCCGTTCAATCACATGAATACTGAAAGAAAAGAGGGAAGCAAATTAAGACTGTTTTTGAAAGAGCATAAAACCCTAAAACATTCTTCACTTTTCAAAGGAAACTAATAAATTGTCTGTTGCTAAAATTAGTGTTACTAGACAACTTTCGTTACATATGAGAGGAAACAACACATTAAAGCTTTATAGGTACTGAAGCGTTCTATTCTCTTAACCAACTAAAAAACTTCTACTGGGAACATTGGTTCAAGTCTGTAAAATCAACAACTAAGACAGTCAAGACTGACAGAAGCCTGATATTAGCATGGGGTACAGCACAAGACCCAGTCTCAAAACAACAAAAACTAATGGGGACAATAAAAACAATAAATGTTAGCACTCATTTTCATAACACTAGGGAAAAAAAGGCTCAAAATGAAAAAACTTTTGGAAACTGGATAGCAAAAGATTAGACTAGTGAACACAGCAACACACGATGAAGTCAGCCAAGCATTAGAATTTAAATAGCGATTCAGAGTCCTAAACATTAGGCTGTCATCTTGTGGTAATCCCTAACTATAACATTATTTCACTGTTACTTCATAACTGTAATTTTACTACTATTATCAACCGTAATATAAATATCTGATATCCTGGGCATCTGATATGCAACCTCCAAAGAGATCACAACTCACAGGTTGAGCACCATTGCATGGTAAAAAGAATAAGCACACGAGGCAACAACATGATAAGAACATGTTTAAAAATATACCTGTCTATGTTGTTTATTGGGGAGGCTGGTAAAACAGCACACCTGATGTGAAGGAAAGAAAGTGAGTGGAAAAAGCCCACTTACCAATTATAATCAAACCAGGACGCATAGCTGGGAATAATGATGTGATTGGTCTGTTCTGTCACATTGTCTTCACCGGGGTCAGCCGAGCGACTTGGATCACCTTTGCTGGGATCTTCATCTTCCTATGAAAAAATTCAAGTGTTCAGAGAGAAAACAGATCACATACACCATATAGGTCAAATAAAGGTAGTGGATCCAAACTGAAGGACTAAGAAAACACCTTTAATCTCAGCACATGAAAAGACACAGGAAGGAGGATTTATGAGTCTGAGGCCAGCCTTATTTACACATCCAGTTGAAGGACAACTAGGTCCACTATGGCAAGTCCCTACATGGTAGAAGACACCTACTCTCCCAACTTTTCTCACACAACTGCATGCACACATACTATAGCCATAGCCTGTGTATACATGCTTAGATCCTGTTCGAATCCTACCACAGTTTCAAATGAAATTGTTCAACTGTCTTAGAAACTTCTTTTACTGATATCTCTTCTCAGCAAAACTGATCACAGACTACACATTATAAATTATATTCACATTTGAGGGTGTCTTATAATTGTTGCCTTTTATTTTCTTTTTTGGATATCTTGTGATCTTAGATTCCTTTTTTCTTATTGCTTGGAGTGTAAGGTGTGAAGGTCAGAGGTAATTGGTACCAGTTCTTTCCTTCTACCTTTACATGGGTTTGGGAAACTGTAGAGCAACCGATTTCATTAGCTAAGCCACCTAACAAGCAATTACCAACAAGATAGATCAAACATTCAGAAAATACCTTAAAGCTTCTGAATATTCATGATTAGTGTGTTTTTTAAATCAAGAATATTAAAGATGCTTGGTATGGTAGCACAACATCTTTAATCCCAAAACACAGAAGGCAGAGGAAATTTCTGAGCTTTATAATATTTCAACATAGTAGAACTCAGTTACTATGTTCTACACAGTACATTCTAGGACAATCATCAACTTTTAGTGTGTGTGTGCACGTGTGTGCATGCACACATATGTACATAAATACTGTGTATGTGGTAAATGTTTACGTGGATGTGTGCAGATATATGTCTTAGCACAAAGTTGACATAAAGTGTCTTCCTTTATCAATGTGTAGCTTATTCTTGAGATATGGTCTTTGAATGAACCTGAATGTCTGGATCTAATTGTGCTGGATGAGCAGTGAGCTGTATGGATTAAAACATCTCTACACCTCCAAATGCAGAACAGGACGGCGGGTCCCTGCTGTGTCCTCACGAGGCTTTGCTGTGGGTGCTGAGGTTGAACTCAGGGCTTTATGCCTAAGTAACAGTTACTTCACAAACTGAGTCATCACCCAGTTCCTTACTTATAATTTTTAAAGGTATAAAATGTTTTTCTACTAAGAAATATTTTGAATCTATATTCTTTTCAGAGACTGATTTGCTAACCTTTATTTGACCAAAATTTCCTGTGTCATACTACTTAACATGAAGATCTGTTGCAGGATATGTCAGTATATTCCTTAAGATGAATTTTTTTTTTAAAAGATTTATTTATTTATTTTATTATGAGTACACTGTAGCTGTCTTCGGACACACCAGAAGAGGGCATCCAATCTCACTATGGATGGTTGTGAGCCACCATGTGGTTGCTGGGATTTGAACTCAGGACCTCTGGAAGAGCAGTCAGTGCTCTTAACCGCTGAGCCATCTCTCCAGCCCCCTTAAGATGAATTTTTATTGGCTGGTGAATAGGCTCAGTGAATAAAGCGGCTATCTCTAAGCCTGGAAACCTGAGTTCAACCCCGAGGAGTGACTGTAACAATTTGTCCTCTGACATCATTAAGTAACCTACATGTGTTCAAGTGCATCCACAAACACAAAAGGTAAATTAAGATCAATTTTTAAATGGGTGAAATTTTAAGGCAGCAGTGTATCAAACCGTTTATTCTAGCACTCAGAAAGCTGAGGCAGGTGGATCTCTGTGAGGTACAGGCCAGGCCAGTTCACAGAATTTCAGGACACTTAGGACAACCTCAGTTGTTACACAGAGAAACCCTGTCTCAAAAAACAAAAATAAATAAATAAAAGAATGAAATTTGAGGGGCAGGAGAGATGGCTCAGCAGTTAAGAGCACTGGCTGCCCTTCCAGAGGTCCTGAGTTCAATTCCAGCAACTACATGGTGGCTCACAACCATCTATAATGGGAATCTCATACCTCTTCTGCTGTGTCTGAAGAAAGCTACAGTGTACTCAAATAAATAAAAATAAACCTTTTTTAAAAATGAATGAAATTTGATGTAAAAGCAGAAAGCACTGGCTAGAATTTAAATGCTGGAAAAATAATTATTCATTAACAAAGATGATTCCTTAAAAATTTAACCATTGTACTTGTAGAAGCAGATAAAACTCTTACCAATTCTAGGCTAGCCAGGGATGAAAGGTGAAATACTATCTCAAAAAAATTAAAACTAGTACTGAAGCACTATAACAACAGCTAAACCTACAAGTGTGACTGAAATCAATCACATCTGCTTTTTAAAAAAAGCCCTACTTGTCATCTAATGCTGGTCTCTATTCTAGATCAGTGACTGGTCTCTACACTAGAACTGATGAAACGAAAGCAGTGACTTAGAAAGCAGAGGCGAAAGACAGAGGCCTCAGTGGTTAAAAGCACTTCATAATACTATAGAGAAGCTAGGTTTGGTGACCAGCACCCATGTCAGGTAGCTCACAACAAACTCCAACAAGTCAAACCACACTCTTCTGGCCTCCATGAGCAACTGCACACAATATAGCATATACTCAAGCCTGAGAAAGGTTAAAAGTATGGTGAACAGTCGACCTTAGCTGCAATCTATATTACACGACTAGAAACAGAAAAGTGACAAAAATCAAGAACAGGCATGCTACACTACTAATCTCAACTGACAGGTACACCACCAGCAATGCAATCAACTATGATTGCTACTTTGTAACAACAGTAGAATATGGAACTAAAAATTATACCCTTATGAGGTGATCTTGGAAAACACTAAGGTTGTTTTCAATAAGATTTCTGACTAAGAAATACAAGTATTACCAGGTGGTGGTGCCACATATCACACCTAGCACTCAAGACAGAGGCAGTCAGATCTGGAAGGTCAAGGCCAACCTGGTCTACAAACCTGGTTCACAAACAGCCAGGGGTACCTAGACAAACATTGTCTCCCCCACCCCCAAAAAAAACCCCACTCAAACCAAACCAAAAACAAAAAAAACTACCCAAAAAAGCCAAAAACAAAAACAAAATTACCCTACCCCCAGCAAAACAATATTATCAGGGTGTATGAAATTTAACTTGCCAGGCAGTGGTGGCACACTCCTGTAATCCCAGCACTTGGGAGGCAGAAGCAGGCAGATATTTGAGTTCCAGGCCAGCCTGGTCTACAGAGTGAGTTCCAGGACAGCCAGGACTACACAGAGAAACCCTGTCTCAAAAACAAACAAACAAACAAACAAACAAAAAGAAATTTAACTAGATTAAGGAACTTTAACTGAATATGGTAGCTAATGACAGCAATACTAGCTAGCATCCTGAAAGACAGCTATGAGGTTCAAGGCCAAGGCCAACTGGACAATTTTGAAATTCTAGGGGAAAAACAAAACAAAGTACAGTAGTGTGTGCATATGGGTAACCTACTCAGAAGATCAGGCAGCCTGATCAAGAAACTGAAATATTACCACAAGACAAGGAGTAAGTTATGGATAGGAGCTTGCCTAGTACATATATAAGCTCCTCAGGTACAGTGAACAGCAGTTAGGCGATGACAGCAGTCAGGAGAGACAGACTGGGGGACCCATAGTTCAGAGACATCCTGGGACACAGGTCAGTTTGAGGCCAATAGGAACATATACAATTCTGCTTCTGCTGAGTGCACATTACTAAAGGAATCTTTTCTCATCTCAGGCCTAATTAAATTTTTACCTTTCCTCCTGTTGTAACTGTTTCTTCATCCTGCTCATCTGTAAAATCAAAACAAGTTGTTTTAATAATCACCCACTGCTATTTGAGTTATGTAGAATCTTTACACTTTACAAATCTGGTACTGGACAGAGAAAATGAATAGATCATTACTAAAACAAATTCACAATGATGAAATGGTCACTTTATACAAATGCATGAAGAGAGAAGTTCATACCAAACAAAAGGTAAGTTCATAATTTCTACAGTTAGAATAATAGTGTTACAACAGGGATCTTATTAATAACAAGCTCTTGTAAGACATTTGAATGAAGAACCAGTCTCCTGAGGATGGGTAAAGCAGAGTTAAAGTATTACGGACTAAATGAGACATGGTGGCCCAGATCTCTAACACCAGCATCACAGAAGAGTTGGTAAGATTCCAAGTCTGAGGCCAGTCTGGGCTACTCAGCAACAAAAAGTACATACCTACTGACAGCAGCAGCTCTATGGCTTAAGTGTTGATTATAGAAGAATAAGAAAGACCTATAGGGGGCTGGTGAGTGGTTAAGAACACTGACTGCTCTTCCAGAGGTTATGAGTTCAAATCCCAGCAATCACATGGTGGCTCACAACCATTGGCAATGAGATCTGATGCCCTCTTATGGGGTATCAGAAGACAGCAACAACGTACTTAATTATAATTAAAAAAAAAAACTTAAAAAAATAAAGACCTATAGGAAATGCAATCATGGAAACAAAGAGATGGCTCTGCAGTAAAGAACTCTGTATTATTACAGAGGGCCTAGGTTCAGTTCACAGCACCCAGATGGTGGATCACAACCATCCATTAACCCTTCCCTAACGAACATGGACACTGCACACACATGGTCTATATCAATACATGTAGTCAAAACATTCATCAAGAACAACATTTTTTTTTTTTTAAATTTTCAGCTAAGCCAGAAGGTGGTGGTACCTTTAATCGCAGCATTTGGGAGAAAGAGGCAGGAAAATCTCTTGAGTTCAGGCCAGCCTGGTCTACAGAGCAATGTACAGTGATGAAATCATGTATGAAATCCCTTAAATAAAAATAACAATAAAATATAAAAGGGAAATGCACAAAAGCATCTGACACAGCCAGGCATGGGAGCTCAAGCCTCTAAACACAAGAAAAAAAAAAAAAAAAGAAGCTGGCCAATCTCTTGTGAGTTCAAGGCCCATCAGATGACTCAGGGACAACAGTGACATCCTGTCTCAAAAAAGCCCAAAAACAACAACAACCCCCACCCCACATCACCACCACCACCACCACCACCACCACCACCACAAAACCAACCAAGAACAACAAGAAGAACAACAGAATAGAAGTTTAGACAGCACACACCCTTATTGTCAGCACTGGGAGGGCTGAAGACAGATCTCTGGGTTCCAGGCCAGCCTGGTCTACAGAGCTACTTCCAGGATGGCCAAGACAAAAAGGAAAAACCGTATCTCAAGGGGGGAAAAACTGATGTCACAAAGAACACGCACACGCACACGCACACCAAGTCTCTGAAATTGAACCATGCTTTCTATATAGTAAAGACAACACGTTCGTTCACAACAGTGCACGATAACAATACGAATGACTGACGATGAACACAGAACAGAACCGAACATGGGGTTTACCAATTAATATTAGAATACAATCTAGTCTGTGTCAAATCAGAAAAAAATCATGACTATTCTAATCCTAACACTTATTTCTTCAGTGAGAGCAGACTGTTTACTAGTAAACTATAGATGTATATACACAGGTAGATGATAGAGAACGAGTAGAATCCAGAAGACATCCAGGTACTGCAAAAATGAACAGCACTGACCTGCCAAAAGTAATAGGGGATTCAAGATGAATAATTCTGTTATAAAGTACACACACACACAAAAAAAAAAAGGAAGGAAGGAAAGAAGGAAGGAATAAAGGAACAAAGAAAGAAAAAAGGGGGAGAGAAAGGTGTGGTATCAGTTCTAAATTGGCAAAGCGTATCTGTGACTAGATGCTGCTCCAGTAATAGTCTAAAAGGCACCTTAAGCTTGGAGTGAAGTAGACTTCACTTAAGCTTGGAGTGAAGTAGACTTCACTTAAGCTTGGAGTGAAGTAGGACTGCATGCACATGGGTTCCACCCACCCCCACCCGTCCAAAAGCTTCCCATTCTTTGACAAGTCTTGACACCGGACAGAAACTGACATCAGATGAGAGACATCCTTATCTTGGATCCTAATTCATGCTATTCAAAAACTGTGCTGTGATTCTCTGAGTGTGCAACCACTACTTTACTTTGTTTTTTTCTTTTTTCCAATTCCTCAAGAATAAAGGAGTAATATAGATTTATGTAACTATGTAGCAGAAGGAACTAAACAGCTAACAAGTCTGAAAACAAAAAACATACACTTGAAAGGTGGAGAGATGGGAGAGTGGCTAAGAACACTCAGAAGACTCAGATTTTATTTGCAGCAACTACACAACAGCTTACAATGGTCTGTAACTCTAGTCCCAGGGAATCTGACAGGTTCTCTTTAAATCTAAGAGCACTGTACACATGGTGCACAGACATACATTCAGCCATGCATCCACACACATCAATAAAAATAATTAAATTTGAGAAAAAAAAACCACTTGATAGGCCACAATGTCCTTGGTGTCAAGATTAATAATACTACAACTGAGTCAAAATGAAGGAGGATAGCAATGTTCAGAGAACCTAACTCTCCATGGGAGAGCAACAGCATCGTCAGACATAGCGGACAAGTGAAGGGCTATGTTCTTATACAAGTGTACAGTATGTACTAAGAAAACTAGGGCAATCTATGTTACTATTTCTTTTCTATTACTGTGTTCAAAGCCTTTAGGAGGATCTTCTCTACACATAGGCAACTTCAGTATGTAAGCTCTGGCATAAAGATTTATATCAGCCAGGCATGATGGTCATATCTTTAATCACAGTGCTCAGGAGACCAATGTAGGCAGATCTCTGCATTTGAAGCCTGCCCATTCTACATTGTGAGTTTCAGGACAGCCAAGGCTATACAGAGAAACTCTGACTCAAAAACAAAAAAAGCAAACAAAAAAAAAAACCCCAAACAAACCAACAACAAAAAAAAAACTGTTAGGGGCATAGTGGTACACACTTTAAACATAGCAACTGGAAGGCAGATCCCCTAAGAGTTTCAGGCCAACCTGGTACACATAGTGAGTTCCAGGCCACACAGAAATACAGAGACCATGACTCAGACAAACAAACAAACAAACCAACCAACCAACCAAAAAAACCTACGAAAATAAATTACAAATTACCAACATTGTTTAGCAGAATTTTACAGTGAAGAACATCCAGTTTTATAACCTTCCATACTACCCAGCAACAGGGAGAAATAAAAGACTACTTATACTAGGTTTTCTTTGTCTGGCCTTTGAATTAGTAATTATCAGTTGTGAAAGAGAAAATTAATATACGGTAGGCATAAACAACAATTAAGATATGATAATAACATAAAAATAAACTAGAAACATTGTCAAACTATGTCTGTTTATCTTTTTTGATATGCTGTCACTAGAAATGCTCTGTTTATACTTTAGACATTAAGAGATAACCATGCACCACTGTGGAGTAAGCCAAGAAACACAGCATGAAAAGAAGAAATGACAAGGGCTGAGGGAAGGTTCCACAGTCACAGCCCTCACCACACACAGGGTCAGTGCCGAGTTCCACTGTTAAAGGACAGTGGAATCCCAAGGGCTGTCTGCTAGGCCCCAACACCTGAACTGTCAGCTTTATACCTGCAAGTACATCATATACACAATAATAATAAATAAGAACTTTACATTTTATTCAAAGAGGATGGTGTTGGGGGACATAAAGAAAGGTCTTTTAGCCCAGACTAGCCTGGAACTCAATATGTAGTTCAAGGCTAGCCTCAAACTCATAATGAAAGACTGATACCACCAAGTTTATGAGAAAACGCCACACACTGTCAGCTGCAAGTCACTGAGAGGAACACAATGGAACAATGGATCATGATAGGACACTAAAGCATGACAGTACAGAAGGCAATTGGTTAATCTTGAAGAGCAGTAAACAAAGCAAATTAAAGTAACAATTTGAAGTAAATAACACAGTATTCACGGAGCTGACAGAGTAAGGAGAGAGAGCATTTGTATCTGGTGTCTTTACCTAGATCTGCCACTGTGCCTCCTTTAACAGGTGTGTTTTCACTGTCCTTCTTTGGGTTTACTAGAAGGAGGAAAAAACATCAGAATCATGTGTTAGAAGAAATAGTCATACTGATTTTAAAAATATACAGTGAGGAGCTCAAGAGATGGTTACTCAGTTAAAGGCAAAGTAGATTAGAATAACTCTAATCCCAAGGGAACGGACACCCTCTTCTGCCTTCCCAAGCCAGTATGCCTACTTACATGCAGACAAACTGTCCATTAACACAAACTAAACAAAATTAAACAGGATGCTAGAACATGAATAAAACATGCCAATGTAGCTCTATCCTCACCCTTACGTAAAACTTCAAGACACTAAACCACTTGTCCAATCTACACTCAAATAGCAATGTAATTCTATTCCACAAACGCAGAAAAATTAACTCATCAACAAAGGGTGGGGGAAGGGGGAAGAAAGAAATGCAGTCTCTCTTCTCCAAAAATTTTTGAGTAGTAAACATTAGGTCTATCAGTTTTTATGTTACTATTTTTTCCTTTGAAGAAGATTTTGGGGGATGGGACTAAATGAAAATGTCACATGTTCTAGGCAAGCACTGAACACAAATGTCACAAGTACTAGGCAAGCACTCTTCCTCTTAGCTCTTATTCCCAGCTCTTATTTTTATTTTTCAAAACAAGCATGAAGATCAGGCATCCTCAAATTCAGGGTGTTGTTACCTAAGACTCCTGAGGACTTGGATTATAGACTGACACCACTATACAAAGGACAATTTAAAATGTATGTACCTGTTTGATTGGTGTCTCTTCTCAATAAAGAAATCACATGCACACATACAAAAACCACAACATGACCCATAAGCAAAATGAGAAAGTAAGCATTTTTAAAAACTGATAAAGGGAAAGTCTATTCCTATTGTAAAGTTAAGAACGATGTGGTATGGCTGTTGTGGTAGAGCCTTTAATCCCAGCACTCAGGAGGTAGAGACGGACACAGCCAGATCTCTGTGAGGTCCAGGCTAGTCTGCGTCCACATGTGAAACATGTGAGTTTCAGGACAGTCAGGACTATATGGAGAGATGTTATTTCAAAAAACTGAAGAAAAAAAAAAAAAGAACAAAAGAAACACACACACACAAAAAAAAAACCCGTGTGCTCAGAATATGACATTACTCATTTTTATGGTGAAATAATAGCCAACACAGGTTTAATGCAAAAGAGTACCAACCGTTCTTAGGGAGAACCACTTCCTCTATATTAGGTACGGGTGTTGGATCTTCCATGTCCTTGGTAAGATCTTCTTGCTCATCTTCTTCCTTCTGACTTCTACGCTTCCCATAAAGGCTAGCTTGTCTAATATATATGGGACAGAAAAGGGCCAATTATAGATACTTTTAGAAAAACAGCTCAAGTTCTATCTAAACTATTATTTATACACAGAAACACTTTAAAAAACAAGAAATAACCAAGCAAATTAGATACTTGACTCAAGTAGCATCAAATGAGCCTTAAACCCTAAGTGATTAGTATATAACAGGACAGTCATCCTACTATTCATATGAGGAGAATGAATTAGTATAGTAAAAGGAGACAGCATTCAATCAGTCTACACATGATAAAATGAAAAAGATATGGACAGCTATATTTTCTTGAGGTATCATTTGACTATTAAAAGTTAAAAAGTCCTCATGCTCCTTATAAAAAATGAAATTGCTTTCTCTAAATAGTTATCATTTGTAAAACTAACAATATGGTTGAGAGTTAAAATAAAGACAAAAGGACATACAATGTGATACAAACAAAAAAACCACATCAGGGTGTGGTGGCATGTGACCATAACTGAAGCACTCAGGAGGATGGGCAGAAGAACTCTGTATATGGACTACTAGCCACCTGAGGAACACCACAAGATTGTTTTAACCAACACATACAGGCACAAATTAACAAAAGTACCAAGGAAAAGCCAGGCAGTGGTGGCACGCCTTTACCCCCAGCACTCTGTAAACAGAGGCAAGAGAATCTTCCTGAGGCCAAGGCAACCCTGATTTACTTAACCAATTCTAACACAGCCAGGGAAACACTGTATTAAAAAATAAATAAATAAATAAAATAAAAAAAAGAAAAAAAAGAAAATTGCTGACGGGAAAAGGCAAGACAGAAACGGATATAGAGGTCATGGAGGAGTGCTACTTACTACTGTGTTCAACTAGCACTCCTGTAATACCCAGGACTATCCAGTTTAGAGATAGTACCATATACAGTGAGTTGAGCCCTCCCACATCAATTATCAATTAAAAAGTGAACCACGGGTTTGCTCCAAGGATAGGGACATTCTCTCTCTTTTTTTTTTTTTTTTTTGGTTTTTCGAGACAGGGTTTCTCTGTATAGCCCTGGCTGTCCTGGAACTCACTCTGTAGACCAGGCTGGCCTCGAACTCAGAAATCCGCCTGCCTCTGCCTCCCAAGTGCTGGGATTAAAGGCGTGCGCCACCACTGCCCGGCACTTCCCACCTTTTCAACATGTACTTACCTACAAGGTGGAAAGGCTGTATTCAAGGTATTCTTATATAAATAAGACTCCTGTCAAAACTTATCCAGCAAGCAAGATGGCTTGGGGGCTGATGGCACGTGCCCTGACAATCCTGAGCCCCACCCTCATGGTAGAAGGTGAGAACTACCTCATATAGTTGTCTTATGAGGTCAACACCCATACGCACAAACAAATAAAAAGAAATTCAATGTAATAAACACAAGTTTAAAAAGTTTAAAAGACAAGTTATCAGAACAAAAAACTTCACAGTCAAAGGATGACTGCTGTTTGGCAAAATATCCAACATAAATATAATACCCAAGAAAGCCATTCAAAGTTTCTTCTGATTATGCTACAAACATCTTACCCTTTCTTCCCACTCTTCTTCCGGGATTCTGTGGGAGTAGGAGGAGGGGGAGAAGGGGAATGCTTCCTCTTTCGAGCATTGGCAGATGCTTTTCTATCTCTCCTTTCTGGACTTCTGACTGGCTAGGAAGAAGAAAATGAAAAGAAATATCAGGCAACTTTACCAATTCCTCAATTTCTACAAACCCATGTCCAAAGGTAACTTTCCATACACTACCAAATCTCCTACATCAGAGAAAATGAAGCCACAAAATTAAGCACCAATTACCAGCAATGGAGAAACATTCCTGACCATCTAGGTCAGCCGTGCTCAATCTAAAGTTTTGATCACTTTGCTGGGTTTAACAAACCCTTCATAGGGGTTGCCTAAGACCTTCAAGACAGATAACTTTATATTATAGTTCATAACAAAACAAGTAAAACACTAAACACTAGCAAAACTGGAATTAAGAAGTAGCAACAAATATAATTTTTTGGTTGGGGAGGTCACCACAACATGAGGAACTGTATTAAAGGACCACGGGATTGAGAACAACTATCCTAGGCAATACAGCAAAACTGAAATGCTAATCATAATCCCACATATCCTGAAAATAACTACAATAAATAAAGACACAACTAAACTTTGAAAAAAAAGTTACTGTTCAACATCCAGGCTCACAGATGGGAAAAGCAATAAGAAGTTACAAGCTCAAGTGATCTGTCAAAGCGGCATTTATAAAATAGCCCAACAGCTTCGGGGGGAGGGGGTGTTGGCACCTTTAAACCTGGCATTTAGGAAGATAATCTCTAAATTCGAGGCCAGTCTGGTCTACAGATCGAGTTCAAGGACAGCCAGGGATACACAGAGAAACACTGTCTGGAAAAAAAATGAAATATAAAACACCAAACATTTTTAAAAATTGTAAAACTGCGGGGCAGTGGTGGCGCATGCCTTTAATCCCAGCACTTGGGAGGTAGAGGCAGGTGGATTTCTGAGTTCGAGGTCAGCTTGGTCTACAGAGTGAGTTCCAGAACAGCCAGGGATATACAGAGAAACCCTGTCTCGAAAAACAGACAAACAAACAAACAAACAAAAAATAAATAACTAAATAAAATCTTGCACTATATCGTGTGACAAAGATGTTTTAGTATTAGGCACAGGTGTAAAAACAAGAACTCTTTCTATTTTCAGTTAATGGTTTAACATAAATACATGTACACATATATGTATACATAAATAAAATAACAAAAAAAACATAAAACAAACAAAAAAAGCAAGCCAAGCTTGCTGAAATATATTTGTATTTCTAGCACTGGAAAGGCTGAGACTGATACTGGCAAATTCAAGTCAGCCTGAGCTACATATTAACTTACAGACTATACAACAAAACAACTATACAACTATACAACAAAACAGAAAAGAAATGTAAAAAGCAAATAAATTTAGCTGTCATAATGAAAATGATCTTAGATTTACAGGTCTCTTCACTGGACTGCCACAAACCCTCAACAGTTACAAAAGGCTATCTTCAAATTCTTATTCTAGTGATGCACGTAGCCAAAGAGTTGTAAGGTTTTGTTTGTAGAGATAAGGTCTCACTATGTAACTGTGGCTAGCCTGAAATTGCAATGCAGACCAGCTAGACCTCAAAACCACACAGACCTATCTGCCTGCCTCTGCCACCTGAGAGCTGGGATTCACAGCATGCAGCACCACCATTCCTGGCACAAATACTGCTTTTTATGGAATCATGAGTAGATAGCCAGAACTCAAACTTCATTTAATTAACTGTAGTATCTTCTTCCAATTAAGAACTGGGACTTAATAGTAATAAAAACATTAAATGCTAAATTCCCTATTGTCAGAAAACACTGTAGCACTTTAATTCTTGAAATATTTTAAGACCAGTATTTTGTAGTATTCTATTTTCACTGAAGTTATTATAATATTAAATAAAGACATTGGTTTTCCTAAAAAACTAGTAGATAAGTTAAGCTATAATGTGGTATTATTTAAAAACCCAAAAGTTATTATTACTTTGTTGGCTAAATTTTAAAATGCATTTAAAAATTAAAACAATGGGCTTGTACTCACATGATAGCTCACAACTGTCTGTAACTCTAGTTCCAAGGTATCTAGAACCCTCATAACATACATGTAGGCACAGCACCAATGCACACAAAATAAAAATAATTAAAAATCAAAAACCAAGGGCTGGTAAGACATGACAGTGGTGTAGAGCACTGGCTATTCCAGTGTTTGATTCCCACAACACCCTATTGTGGCATCCACAGACACCATACATGCTCACAGTACAGACATACACCCATACATCCCTATACAGTAAACAATTAATTTAAAAATTGTACCTACTAGAAAAAAATCAGCTGTAGAATTAGCTTACCACTTGGCACATTTACTAAGATTTTCATTCCTTTCTCTAGTAATATGCCAACAAATGGTTGTTAAGTCACTCAATAACTTTTACACGTACATCTTAGGTGATGGCCTTAAGTGTGTATGTGTCAGATACAAAAAAGAAAATATCTAGTAAAAGCAAAAGGAATCAGTGATCAAGAAATAGTGCCAAGTGAAATACCTCTTCATTCTTCGTTGAAATTCGTTGTCGAAAGCTCACTGGCTTTCTGTTCTCGTCCACTTCGTAATCCTCTTCATTCATCCATTCATTGAAAACGTCAGTATCCAAAATCCATTTTACATGAACCTAGAACCGTATCAAATGGGCACAATTATGATTCAGCATTAGACCATTAACTCTTCTTAGTCACACCTCAAGGCGATAGAGGGGAGGGGGCAGAGAGTGCTTGGTTGCAATGAAAATGAGAGGTATAAACTAGCAATTACAACTAACTATAAAGCTTCCTTCAACACTGAAAATAGGTTGTGATATGGCAGCCAATAGAAGCCATTTCTCCAGCCCCGAAAATACTGTTTTTTAAAATCAAGTTTGTTTGTGTTGTTTTGTCAAGACAGGGTTTCTGTGTGTAGCTGTGGCTATACTGGAACTTGTTCTGTAGCCCCGGTTAGCCTCCAACTGAAGAGATAGACCTGACTCTGCCAGCCAAGTGAGGGATTAAAGGTGTGTGCCAATGGTATATGTCACCACATCCAGGGCCTCAAGTTGTAGTTTTTTAAAAAATTAATTGCTGGGAAGTGGCGCACACCTTTAATCCCAGCACTTGGGAGGCAGAGGCAGACGGATTTCTGAGTTCCAGGCCAGCCTGGTCTACAGAGTGAGTTCCAGGACAGCCAGGGCTACATAGAGAAACCCTGTCTTGAAACACCAAAAAACAAAACAAAACAAAAACAAAAAACAACAAAAAAAATTGATGTACTAATTAAAAGCAGTGCTTTTAATTTTTTAAGAATTTAAAAGGGGGGGCTGGAGAGATGGCTCAGTGGTTAAGAGCACTGTCTGCTCTTCCAGAGGTCCTGAGTTCAATTCCTAGCAACTATATGCTGTCTCACAACCATCTGTAATGGTGTCTGATGCCCCCTTCTGGTGTGTCTAAAGACAATGACAGTTGTACTCATATACATTAAACAAACAAACAAAAAAATAGAAATTAAAATTTTCTTAAGAAAAATTTCTGGAGCTGCAGAGATGACTCAGCAGTTAAGAGCCCTGGCTGCTTTTCCAGAGGTTCTGAGTTCAACTCTGAGCAACCACATGGTGGCTCACAACCATGTATAATCAAATCTGATGTCTTCTTCCAGCATACAGATAGAGTACCCATACATAAAATAAATAGATCCTAAAAAAAATTGTTTTTTCCGTTTCTCTGGGGAAAGGTTAGCTAACAAACATCATTAACTGTGAATGAACAAATGTCCCGTTTACTGCAACTTTGAAAAGACCATCTCTCACCAGTTGGTGGTGGTGCTTGCCTTTAATCACAGCACTTGGGAGGTAAAGGCAGGTGGATCTTTTTGAGTTTGATGCCCATCTAGTCTACAGAAAGACCCTGTCTAGAAAAACAGACAAAGCCGGGTGGTGGCACACGCCTTTAATCCCAGCACTTAGGAGGCAGAGGCAGGCAGATTTCTGAGTTCGAGGCCAGCCTGGTCTACAGAGTGAATTCCAGAACAGCCAGGGCTACACAGAGAAATCCTGTGTGAATAAAACAAAAGAAATAAAGCAAAGAGTTTATTTTGGATTATAACTCCAGAGTGAAATGTGTTTGTAATTGTGGCTCAGTCATAAGGGGAGGAACACAGAGTTATGAGAAATTATTAATTCTCAAGACCTCTCCATATAGGTTAAACATGACACCCCCATTTCTCACACTCTGGCTTGGCATTGTGTTCTTCTCAAGCACTGCACAAATTAACTTCTAAGACCTCAATACAATGTTGTCAGGGTCACTGATATGTTCTTGAGTTGCGGACATTAAAACGACAACACCATTATACATTAAAAAAAAAAAAAACAGTGTTGTATCTGGGCATGGGCTTACTCTTGAATACTCACTGGACTGAAGCAGGAGGATCATTATACAATCAAGGCCAGCAATGACTGCACAGTAATCTCAGGGACAGCATGAGCCAGAGCGACAACAGCTTTCCAAAAACAAATTAATTTATTGTAGAGAATAGCAATCAGTGTGTAAATATAATTTATTTGTATTATTGATTTATGTGTATTATTATGAGTAGGTTGTCTATGCATCATATGTGTACCTAGTTAACACATTTCCTAGGACAGGGACTCTCTACATGGCTGTTGTCTTGGAACTCAGTATGCAGACCATGCTGGCCTTGAATTCAGAGATTTGCCAGCTTCTGCCTCCTAAGCATTGGGCTTAAAGGCATCACCAACCACTATGCCCAGCCAAGAATAATTTCTTTTTTGCAGATCCATTACCTTCCATGGCTTTTCTGGGATTGGTGCATCTTCAATTTCAGCATCAACATCATTACTGTGGACCCAAGTGTCATAGCTATAAAGCAAATTAAACAAGTAAACAAATTAGAGCCAACTCTATTGATTAGAAAGACTATTCAAGCACTAAGAATATGTATTACAAATATCATTAGAAAAAAATTTAATAAATTGATAGGCCAGAATCATGGATAAAAGAATTTGCCACAGAAGCCTGAGTTCAATTCTTAGAACACATATATGAGTAGAACTGACTTTGCAAAGTGCCCTCTGACTCTACACATGTGCCATGGCATGAGTGCACCTACCCTCACACACACATCATATGTACACATACTAATAGTGCTTTAAAAAATACACCTTTGTTTCATCACCGTCAATAAAACTGAACCAAGCCAAAAACTGTCTCAATTAGTTAAAAAGAATTCTAAATAGGTATTGCCCATTGCTCAAAACAACCTCTAAAACTTGGCCTTCTTGTCAGCACTATCACAGGGTATTTGTTTTCTCTCATTCTCAGTCCTCAGCTCTCCAGTTTCCACTGCTAGCTTATACTTTCAGCCATATTAAGCATCTTAACTATGATATTTAATATATTTAAACTATATTTAATGCACAAACATTAAATATTAAATATTAATCTCTTTGATATTAAAGAACGCAGAAATACCTTTCAAAAAAAATTCTCCTCTTGGTGATCTCATTCAGGTTTCCAAAGTAATACTATACTTTTAAAGTATTACACCTGTACCTTAAGTCAATCCGAAACTCGAAATCCAACAGGCAGTTCTACATTCCCTAGCTCATGTGTGTAACTGCCCCAAACCAAGCACACTCCGAGTTCCGATCATGCCTCCACAGGACGCTGAGAGCTGACCTCCTCGGCCGTCCACTGCTCTCAGTGTCCACGCTCGTTTCCTAGCCTGCCCACTGCTTCCCCAAGAACTGAGGTTTTCACATACCAACAGAAGGATGTTTTCAAAATTTACCACAACATTCTACAATTCAAAAACTTCCAACGACTCTGAGCTGGTTGTTTTTTGTTTTGTTTAAGACAATTTGACACAAGAAAGGGTCATCTGGAATGAGGGAACCTCAATTGAGAAAAATACCTCCATGAGACTGGCATATAGGCAAGATGGCAACATATTTTGCTGATTAGTAATTAATGTAGAAGACCTAGCCCACTGTGGGTGGAACCACCACTGGGCAGATAGGTCTGGGCTATAAGACAAAGCATGCTGCCAGTAAACAGCATTCTTTCATTGTCTCTACTTCCGTTTCTACCTCCATGTTCCTACTTCGGCTTCACCATTGATAATGGAACCGAATAAACATTTTCCTTGCCAAGTTGCGTTTGGCCAAGGATATAAAGGAATAACAATATATATATATATATATATATAAAATTATGACAGACTCCAAACTACTAAGATTGAAAGTCAAAGTCCCCCGGGCGGTGGTGGCGCACGCCTTTAATCCCAGCACTTGGGAGGCAGAGGCAGACGGATTTCTGAGTTCGAGGCCAGCCTGGTCTACAGAGTGAGTTCCAGGACAGCCAGGGATACACAGAGAAACCCTATCTCAAAAAAAAAAAAAAAAAAAAAAAAAAGAAAGTCAAAGTCCTCACAAAAACATTGGTTTCTGTATTAGTCAGGATTTCTACTGCCATGATGAAAACACCAAGATCAAAAAGCAAGTTGATGAAGGAAGAATTTATTCACCTTACACTTCCAGATCATAACTCATCACTGGAGGAAGTCAGGACAGGAACTCAAGCAGAGCTGGAACCTGGAGGCAGAAGCTTATGCAGAGGTTGTGCTTCCTGCCTTGGTTTATATAGCTTGTTCATCCTGCTAACTGATATAACACAGGACTGCCAGTCCAGGACACAGGCTGCACTCTTTCACATGATCACTAATTGAAAACATTGCCTTACAGCTGGATCTCATGGAGACACTTCCTCAACTGAGGCTCTTTTCCCTCTCGACACTCCACCTTGTGTCAAGTGGACATGAAACCCGCCAATACATTTGCCAAGGTCTCACAATCTGGCCTCCCATATTGTCCTCTCTAAGGTTAAATGATTCAGTGGCATCTTTAACATATGTCACTAAGTCAGAATACACTTCATATCTAATGCTCCTTAAAGCCTGAAACGTTCAAAATATCCACAGAAATCACCTCTTCTCAAGCTCCCTACTCAAATATCCTCTCATCAGCAGGCAACAACTCAGTGCTACAATCATTAAAGCCATTCCAAAAATTATAAGAGTGTCTACTAAATGAAAAGACTGTTAAAGTTACTATACTGTCCAATAAAATTACAAATCCAAGTGAAATCACCAATGTATAAGGCCTTGAGTTTGATCTCTAACATGACATAAACCAGAAAACCAAGGGAGATTCAAGTCAAGTATTTGTATAATATCCATTATTGTGGGTTAAGTTCAAAATCACCTGGAACCAGCAGTTCTCTATATTGAGAATTTTGTGTATATGCATGTACACAGACATCTACACATCTCCTCATAAATTTGCTTAACAGTTAAATGTAAGATGGGGGGGAAACCTCTTGGACAATTACATAATATACTAAGCAAAGATTACCATAATGAGATGAGAAAAGTAATTTTATATTCTTTCAAAGTTTTGAATATAAAGTATTTTATAAATGGATATCAGGGTTCAGGCCATAGTTACTAACAAAAAATGAAAATGGGATCAAGCCTTGAGAAGGAAATAGAGTTCGAGGCCAGCCTGGTCTAGAGTGAGTTCCAGGACAGCCAGGGCTACACAGAGAAACCCTGTCTCGAAAAACCAAAACAAAAAAAAAAAAAATTAAGAGTGTAAGAGCAGGAGAGCTGGCCCCTGCTGTGGGGTAGAGATGTCCTTGTTCCCTCACTGACAGGTGAGAGAGCTGGGCCTGTCCTTCACTGGCTACTGCACTTGGGAGAGCAGGCCTTACATTTCGCTTGGGCAGCACAGTAGAGCTGGCCCTGCTGGTGTGAACCCACGACAGTGAGAGCAGGAGAGCTGGCCAGCTTTGGCAGTGAGTGCCGCAGCTGGAGCAGTGCTGGAGAGGTCACCCCAGTGGTGTGGGTGAGGGAATACTGGTGAGCTCAACAACTCAGCCACCACCCAGGTCAGGATGAAGGCCCATTCAACTCATCTACACAATATATGAACTACTGGAGAGAGGAGTCCCTGTGAGGATCTGTATTGATCTATAGCAGAAGCTAGGGGCTTTGAACCATACCAATGATTCATTGCAATAAATATTTCAAGTAAAGATGTGTAAACGAAAGAGTACACTATGAGATACACTACAGCTTCCACAAAGAGATTTTGTGCTGTTTCTTTTCTGGGTGATTTGCAATAGAGGAGGGCAGATATGAAGGGGTGGGGGAAATGAGTGGGATTGGGACACATGATGTGAAATTTACAAAGAACCAATAAAAACTTCTAAAAAATTTACTGGCCTTTTCCGGCAGTGACGACCTCCCTATGAGAACATGCCTCTCAGAAAGGATCTCCTTCATCACTCTCCAGAAGAGAAGAGGGAACACAAGAAAAAGTTTCTGGTGCAGAACCCAATTCCTACTTTGTGGATATGAAAGCCCAGGATGGTATAAAATTACCATGGTCTCTAGCCATGCACAAACGGTAGTCTTGTGTGTTGGCTGCTCCACTGTCCTGTCAGCCTACAGGAGGAAAAGCAAGGCTGACAGGAAGGATGCTCCTTCAGGAGGAAGCAGGACTAAAGGCCCCTGATTCAAGATGATTGGGAACCTTCCCAATAAACACATTTTGGGGAAAAAAGTTTACTCATTTTATATGACTATACTAACCTCATATGAATGTTTTGTCTGCGTGTCTGTACACCATGTGCATGTCTGATGCCCATGGAGGTGAAGAAAGGAAGTTGAGTTTCCTGGAACTGAAGTTACAGAGTGACATATGTGTGCTGAGAACCAAACTTGGATTCTCTTCAAGAGCAGTAAGAACTCATTAATGAAACAATTCTCCAGGCCCCAAGATTCCTTTCTTAAAGACATATATCTTAATTAATGGATTAATAAATAACATGCTAACAGATCCCTTTAGCAAATAAATCTCTCTCTTTGAGATAAGTGAAATTATGCTTTAAATATGAAGTCTTCCCTACAAGGTTCACAGGCTAAGGATATAACTGGGCCATGAAGGAGTTAACTATCAATGAATCAATTCATTGAATTCATACTTGAATGAGATATTAGACAGGCAGACTAGAAGAAAGAAATTGATATTCATCAGTATAACTCCACAGGGACATCCTGGCCTTGCAACTTCTGGTATGTCTCTGCTTCCTGGCTGCTACCTCTGCTGCAGCACACCCATTACACAACAAAGCTCAGGCATACAAGCATACAGTGATAGGCCAAGCAACCATGAAAAGGTAACTAACTCTATTCAGAAAATAAAGAACTTTCCTATACATATATGTAGTATATATCTCCTGCGTTTTTTGTTTTGTTTTGTTTTTTAAGACAGGGTTTCTCTGTGTAGCCTTGTAGGCCAAGCAGGCCTCAAACTCTGTGCTGGTTTAAAGGTGTGGCCACCATTCCTGGCTGACATAAATCTTTATGTCACAGCATACATTGCCTATGTTAAGACTAGAGCCTAAAGGCTCCAATTACAAAGTAACAGAAATGATACAGTAACATGAATTACCCTAGTTTTCTCAGTACATATTGTACACTGACAAATCCCATTAGAATATCACACTGCATTTCTTAAGTATATAATTACATGTATCTATTTAAATGTTAAACGACTTTAATATTTTAAAAGATAAAGTTGCTTTAGATGTAAAGCACCTAATACTTAGCATGTATAAAGACCTGGATTCGATCCCTCACCCAATCCTCAGAAAGGGGAGGGAGGAGGGGGAGGAGGAGAGAGAGAGACAGAGACAGACAGATAGAATATACAAAGGGAACAGGCATGGTGGTGCAATGCTCTTAATCCCCAGCACTGGGGAGACAGCAGTAGATAGCTGTATTGAGTTTGACAGTCTAGCCTGCTTGGTGAGCTGCAGGTGAGTCGGGACTACATAGTGAGAACCTGTGTAAAAACATTTATAAATCATATAAATTTTAAATAAAAAACAGATAGATGGAAATGCAGCTGGATGGCAGTAGTACATGCCTCTAATCCCAGTACTTGGTAGGCAGAAGCAGAGACAGGCAGATCTCTGTGAGTCTGAGGCCAGCCTTATCTACAAAGTGAGTTCTAGGACAGCCATGCATACACAGAGAAACCCTGTCTCGAAAAACAAACAAAGGGGTAAGAATGCTAATAGATTTTATCCTCACAGCCTGTAGACATATGCAATTATCAAGACCAACATCAACATCACAAGGATAGTTAGGATTACCTGTCTGGGTAGAAGCCCCAGTGCACCAGCACCTGCTTGTCTCTCCTCATCACTGGCCTCAGCCATTCCTCTGAAAAAAGAAAAAGCATCAAAATATGACTTCAATTTAGTTAGGATTAAAAAATATATATTTAATATTATGTGTATGTGTGCTCCCAAGTGTCATATATGTATACAACATATGTGCAGGAGCCCAGAGATCAGACAAGGTGTCAGATGGCCAGGAACTACTGTTATAGACAGCTGAGAATATACTTGTAGTTTCTGAGACCCAAACCCTGGTCCTCTGCAAGAGTAGGTAAGTGCTCCAAAGTGCTGAGGTTAAAGGTGTGCGTCACCACTGCCCAGCAATTAACTGTTTATTAACATATGTGTTCAAACACAAAATGAGAGAAGCTAATGATAGATCACTTGAAATATCAAATCAAAGGGAGAGAAACAAAAGTGAGTAAGTCTAAGGGATTTATGAATACTTTGAGCAGATCAATAACCCTACAAAGTAGCAGCATTTGGAAGGTTGAGGCAGAATAATTTCAATTCAAAGCCGTCATAAGCTACATTGTGAGACCCTTACAATAACAATAGAGAAAAAAAATCCCACCACTTTAATGTTAAGGGTGCATATTCAAGGCTGGAAACATTTGGGCCAATGAGATGTCTCAGCCAATCCATCCTCTTGCCAATGCAACTGCCTTCAATTTGAATCACAGGCCCTATACACATAAAACCACTTCACATGAGCTGACTGTCCTCTGGCCTCTACAAGCTCACTGTGGCACAAGGGCTGGCTCCCACATGAATACACATCACACACCAAAAAAATTTAAAAACCAAGAGAGAAAAAAAACAGGTGGGGTGTATCAAGGAGAAAGAACAGCTGGGAATGTAGCTCAGTGGGTAATGGGTCCTAGTCCTATAACCAACAGCCCATACTCTCAACATTCGGGAGCTGAGGGCATAAAGGTCTCAAGTTTAAGGTAGTCTTGCCAACATAGAAAGTTCAAGGCCAGTCTAGGGTACATGGAACCCTGCCTCAATTTAGATAGTTTACTGAACTCTGTGACAGTCAATAATCATCTGCCTCAGATATCCATGTATTTTTAGTGTTCATATCGATCATCAACAGTTAGTATAAAATGGATGCTAAACTGGTTAGAATACTGAACAGCACAGGTCAAGTCTCACTTTCTAAAAGAATCAAGTGATCTAATCTCAGACTAACATACCAAGTGATACATTAAATAAAACAAAGAACTCTACATTAATAAGTACATTAGTGGTGTACTTATTTCGACATGTTTTAGAAGAAGGGTCCATTAGTGATACCCTATGGTACAATGTATGTGTTAAAGAGCTGATAACCAACAGCTAACTTACCATCCTCTTGTGAGGAAGGATATGGATAAATATGGTGGGAAGCTTTTGACTTCTCATCAGTAAATGTCCCCTGCAAAGCAAATAAATAGATAACATAAAAATAAGGCACATGGCAAGCAAATCATTAGATGTAGATGCAAATTCTCTAAGAAAAATAAAAGCATTTAAAAAAAATTTTTTGTCAAGCAAAGGAACAACAATAGAAAATAAGTGTTTCTAGATATACAAGTAAGGACAGAATATTCTTTATCAAGTGTTTCAAATGTCTAAGAGCTTTTCAAAAAGATTTGGGAATATTTGTATATACTTTATCAACTATCATTAATCCCAAACCAAAAAATTCTCTAAACATTGAACTTACTGAGTATGTTAGCACTCAAAATGTTGTACCTTTACCATCAATAAGCATGCCTCAAGTTCTTAAAATTACTTCACAACCATCATAAACAATGAGCATGGGAACGCAACAACATAAGAGTAACTGTAAAGTGCATTCACCATGAAAACAATATAAGGTTTTGGCCAGACCTCAAACCTAAGAACTTGGGAAAACTGAAGGCTAAAATTGAAGGCCATCCTCAAATATACTAATTTTAAGGCTAGTCTAAGCTACTTGAGACTGTCTCACAAAAACAAACAATAGAACAAAAACAAACTCCCCAAGTTGCCAGTATGTAATTGGTTTCAAGCTTCTGCCCTCCCGCCTTAGCTGCCCAGCACCAATCATTAGCTGACATCAAGTCTGGCACATAAACTGGGGCTACATCAATAACAGATGAGAGAGACCCTTGAATTAACCACAGTGTACATCTTTGCTGTCACTTTATGTCAGTGTTGGAACACTGCTATGAAAATTAAGGGTAAAATATAACTAGGTCAGAGACTACTAAATATATCTTAAAAACAAAACAAAAAGCCCACAAAGCCATTTAGACTAACAACTGCTCATTCTTGATACCACACAAACAAGAAAAGTCAAGTATTCAATTTTAAGTAGCAACTCAAAGCATCCTCTCCATTTCTCCTTGAAAAATGAATATTACTCATTATCCCAAACCAATAAACATAATGCCACTTTATCTGTAGAAAACTAAAATATAAAAAAATTAGGACTACCTAAAACAGTTATCTGCCTCCTAAGTAAGGCCTTCAGACTCACTGAATTATCAGAATACATTTATGAATGGCTATCAGAAAGGAAAAGGAGTCTCCATGGCCAGCAAGTGTAAGCCAATGTACAACCGTGTACTTAAAACCTTGGCCAGTGAGCCTGTCACCACTGCATTCCAGCCTCACTTCTATGGTCAGATGACTCAGATGACATAGCAAGTCATTCTGTGCCTATCATCTGTGAAGTAGAGTAAATAAATTGTAGGTTTATCGGTGTTTTGCCAGCATGTATGGTTGTACACCACCTGAGTGCCTGGTACCCAGGGAGGCCAGACGAGGTTTTGGATCCCCAAAAACTGAAGAAACAGAAGGTTATGAACTGTCGGGAATGTTGGGAATCAAACTGGCGTCTTTGGAAAGAACAGTTAGTGCTCTTAACCAGAGTAATCTTTCTAGCATCACAATGTTTTAAAAAGATTTATTTATTTTATGTCTGTGAATGTTCTGCCTGTATTTGTCTTTCTACTACATGTTCCTGAAGCCTACAGAAGTCAGAAGAGACCTTCAGATGAACTAGAACAAGAGCTGCAGATGGTTGTGAGCTACTGTGGGGCTGCAGAGAACTGAATCCTGTCCTTTACAATAGCAACAAGTGCTCTTAACTACTGAGCCACCTCTGCAGCCCTGAAAGGAGGATTTTGTCGGGCAAGCAAGATGCCTCAGAGGTCAAGAGCACCCTCTGCAGTTGCAAAGGACCTTGGTTCCCAGCATCCTTGTATGAGCCGTTCTAGGAAACCGGATGCCCTCTTCTAGTCTCTACTGGTACTCTCATATACAAACACTTAAAATAAAGTAATAAGTAAGTCTGGATCAATGACACAAGCCTTATATTACCCTAGTACCCCAGAGGCAGACAGATTTCAGTGAGCTTAGTGCCAATCTGTTCTACACAATAAATCCCAAACCAACCAGAACTACATAGCAAAACCCTGCCTCAAATTGATTGATTGATTGATTGACTGATTCAGTGTTAGCCATTAACTCATTTAAAATGTTCCAGTGAAGTTGTATTCAAGAACAGTAATATTATTAGTGACTCCCTTCAATGCTAAGACACCAGGGCTAGAGCAAGTTAAAGCTCACTACAAGAGGCAAGCAATATGTCAAGTCCTGGTTGTGAACTCTAGCAGCACCTAGAAGACCTTATGAAACCAACTAGAAAATCTAGTATCTCTTTCAAGAGTATCCTTGGAAAATAATCAGTAAACAACAACAAAAATATCTCAGCTTAAAATGAAATAAGATAATGAAAGCACCAATTGCATGGAACAGCCGTTTGTTCATACTCAAAGTCTCGCTGCACTGCCTCAGTAGCCTCTCAAGTAGCCTCTAATACCTACAGGCAGGCACTATCATACTTGCCTAGAAACCAGACTTTTTTCCATTCATCTTACAAAAAGAACATACATAAAAAATACAACTAGATGTTGGAGGGTGAGGGTGGGGAGAGCAGACTAACAGGGCTTCACACACTCTGAGTTAAGAGATGATACTGGTCACTTTTTACTACATAAGCAAAACCTAAGGCTATCATAAACTCATCCCAATGAACATCTTAATGTACTCGGGAACTCGAGAAATCCTCCCTTCAAAGCAGACACATACGCAGAACAGATTTTGGGATTTATTACAGGCGTCCTACCACCACACTAAAGCAATCATGTCTATTACCTGATGCCGTTTGATGATATCTTTTAACTTGTTAGCCAACTTCAAATCAATGTCTGGAATGAGGTAGATGTTGGGTCTAGTCAGACAGTTGTTCTGAGAAAACAAAGACAGACTTTGAAATTCAAATGGTCTTGAAATGATGTCCACTAACTGTTGCTCATTCTTACAGAGTATTTACTTTAATTGTATGTGGAGATGTGTACACCATGGCACACAAGTAGTATTAGACAAGCATGTGAGGTCATTCTCTCTTTCTGCCATGTAGGTTATCAAGTACCTTTACCCACTGAGCCATCTCACAGGTCATGGGCCTGCGCTCATTCATCATCTTAATGGCTAAAGTTGACATTTAAACCTACATTTCTTAACATAGAAAAACAACCGTTTTGGTTTTGGGGGGAGCTTGGGGTGGGAGTTGGATGTGTGGTGAGACAGGGTTTCTCTATGTAGCCACGGATTTCTCTCTGTAGACCAGGGCTGACCTCAAACTCAAAGATCCACTTACCTCTGCCTTCTTGACTGCTGAAATTAAAGGTGTGTACTCCCATGCCTGGCTTGAAAGACATCTTTTGATACACAATATGATAGTCTTATCTCAAAATAAAACCTAGATGGCTCAGCAGGCTACTTAAAATCATCCCCAGATCCCTTCTGTAGCTAGACAAAGACTGCTGATAATCATCTGAATGAAATTCTTGCTAAAATACAGCAACGTCGGAGACAGTAGACCTTTAATCCTGGCATTCAGAAAGCAGAAGAAGGCTGATCTCTTTTGAGTTCCAAGACAGCTGGAGCTATATGGTGAGGTCCTATCTCAACCCTCATACCACAATAAAGGAAGGAAGGAAGGAAGGAAGGAAGGAAGGAAGGAAGGAAGGAAGGAAGGAAGGAAGGAAGGAAGGAAGGAAGGAAGGCAGGCAGGCAGGCTGGAGAGATGGTTTCGTGGGTAAAGTGCAGAATAAGCATAAGGAGTAGGTTCTGAATATCCAGTGTTCACACAGAAGCTGAGAGTGATGGCACACATCTGTAGTCCAAACTGATGTCTCCAATGTGTAAGAGACAAGCTCTCATCCCAGAAGCTTTTCTGCCATGCACTAACTAAAATGGCTATGGTCCAGGTTCAGGGAGAGATTCTTTCTCAAAAAGGTGAGGTAGAGAAACATCTCAATGGTTAAAAGTACCAGCTGAGCCGGGCGTTGGTGGCGCACGCCTTTAATCCCAGCACTTGGGAGGCAGAGGCAGGTGGATTTCTGAGTTCGAGGCCAGCCTGGTCTACAGAGTGAGTTCCAGGACAGCCAGGGCTACACAGAGAAACCCTGTCTCGAAAAGCCAAAAAAAAAAAAGTACCAGCTGTTCTTCCAGAGATTCAAGTTCAACTGTCAGTACCCACATGGCATCTCATTCCAGTTACAGGGAATCAGTGCCATCTTCTGACCTCGGTATGCACTGCGCATACATGATACACAGACACACAGACCACATTCATACATAAACTAAAAGCTTTTACTCAGAGCTAGTCTAGTGTGATGAAATGTCCGCTGTCCAAGCCCATGAACCCGAGTTCAATCCCCAGCACCACACAAGAGAGAGGAGAAAGAACTTACTCCACCAGCTGTCCCTCCCCTCTACACACGACATGGCACATGTGCCCATAATTACACACTGTGTAGATACATAAAAATAATTAATTTCAAACCAGGCAGTGGTGGCGCACGCCTCTAATCCCAACAACTGGGAGGCAGAGGCAGGCAGATCTAAGCTAACCTAGTCTACAGAGTGAGTTCCAGGACAGCCAGGACTATACAGAGAAACTGTCTCCAAATCAAAACAAACAAACAAACAAACAACTCCAGCAACACCAGCAAACCATGAGGTGGAAACATCTACCAATGGTACAGTCCTTGCCTGGCTCTAGATTCCAACCTCAGTACCATAACACCACTCCCCGTCAAAAAAGGGAAAAAACAAAACCAAAAACTCAGAAACAAAAATTTAACCATTCTTACATTCAAATTATGATCCAGTTGAGAAATAGTAGGTATTTATTATACAACCAGGGAACAAAATAAAGTAAAAATAATAAAGTCAACATCATCAAGAGTGCATATAGTGGGGGCTGGAGAGATGGCTCAGTGGTTAAGAGCACTGACTGCTCTTCGAGAGGTCCTGAGTTCAATTCCCAGCAACCACAGGGTGGCTCACAACCATCTGTAGTGGGATCAAATGCAGTCTTCTGGTGTGTGTTTGAAGATAGCTACAGTGTACTCATATAAATAAAATAAAAAAATTCTGATTATTTAAAAAAAAAAAAAAAAGAGTGCATATAGTACAGAGAAGCAGAACACAAATGACAGGCTGTGGCAGTGTATGCACCTATTTACCCTCAGCACTCGGGAGGCAGAGACAAGAGGATCCCAATGCTCTACGGTTCCACGCACTCTAGGGCTTCCACGTGAGAAAAATGATTCAAATAATAAATGAAGGGGCTGTGGGGGCTGGAGAGATGGCTCAGTGGCTAAAAGCACTGACTGCTCTTCCAGAGGTCCTGAGTTCAATTCCCAGCAACCACATGGTGGCTCACAACCATCTGTAATGAGATTTGATGCCCTCTTCTGGTGTGTCTGAAGACAGCTACAGTGTACTCATAAATAAAATAAATAGATCTTTAAAAATAAATAAATAAATAAATTAATTAATTAATGAAGGGGCTGGAGAGACAGCTCAGCAGTTAAGAGCACTGACTGTTCTTCGGAAGGTCCTGAGTTCAATTCCCAGCAACCACACGGTTGCTGACAACCATCTATAATACGATCTGATGCACTCTTCTGGGGTGTGTCTGAAGATGGCTACAGTGTACTCATATAAATAAAAATAAACAGTAATAATAATAATAATAAATGAAGCAAATAAAGAGAAATATCACATATGCCTTTAATCCAACAGAAAGAAGAATCTCTGAGTTCAAGGGCAGCCTGGTCTACATGTGAGTTCTAGGTCAGCCTAGTTCTAGTTTATATATTGAGTTTCAGGAAAGTCAGGACTAAAAGAGACACTGTCTCAAAAGTAAGAAAAAAAAATTTTGGTATTGACACTTATCTGTCTTAAATGACCAGATCAATTACAGCTCTAATCCCAAAACACATAAAAACAATAAACTTATGTATTTCAACAAAGTCCTCTCCTTTATCTTTTGTAATCTAATACAGTCTTAGAATTAGAAGCATATTAAAGTGACTAATAGATTTTAAATTTAGGAATAGGGGCTACTGAGGTAGAATTGTTAGGCCAACCTGGGACTAAAGACGCCCTATCTACAACATGATAGAAGGGAAAGAGGAAAGACTGAGGCAAAGGAGAGGAGTGGGACAGGGACAACAAGGCCTAAGTCTCCAACTTACCTGTACCAAAGTTTTCTCAATGTTCATGAACATTTCAACGTTACGATCCATTCGGGATGGATTCTGAAGATCAAATCTCCGCCTAACAGAGAAAAAAAAAAGCTTTACTAAGTTCATCTTCAGTCTTAAACAAGTGGAAATTGGATTATGGAATTTAACTTAAATGAATTTAAAAGACTTAGAAACTAAGCTAGCCCCAAAGATGACTCATCCACAGAATCCACAGTGGAAGAACAGATTCCCAAGTTGTCCTCTGACCTATACACAGACAAACAAGTTAAAAATTGGTTAAAATTTCTTTTAAAGACACACCCCAGTCAAAACGAAGTACCAATGTCATGAATTCCTATTTTCCTTCAGTCTAAGATTACATAATATAGAAAAGTAGTTCACAAGGCTGGGGACATAGTTTGTGATAGAATGCTTGCCTAGCATATAAAAGAGACTGGATTCTTCAACCCCTGCCATTACAAGGGAAAAAATGTGAAGTAATGCTATTCCACAGATTTAATGACAGGGAATCACATATGCAAACATGGAATGTTTGTTTGTTTTTTAAAGCCATATTGTTTATCGCTGGCAAATTGGCAGTAAAGATACTGATAAGCGGATAAGGCTGAGAACCTGAGTTCCATCTCAACTGACTCCAAAAGTTGTCCTCTTACTTCTACATGGATCATGCCTGTGCAAGGTGTGGCGAGTTTTTGGGGGCCACCTGGCAGGAATCTGACATTGGGCCAGGGCGAGGAAGTTAATTACAGGCAGGAATCTAATTTTAGGATAGAGCAAAGCAGTAGGCTTCACTAATGAATATGACTTTCAGCTAGGACCGGGAAGTAGGCTGAGATATCTTGGTCATCCATTTAAGCCCTGAGGAACAGTGATCACAGTGATCTAGGGACTTTATTGCCTTGCTTGTTCCTTAAATTTGTGTACTTATTGTACTGCTTGACCTTATCACTTGCATGTAATGGTATAAAAGCAGACTTGGGAAAAAATAAATCTGCCTCAGAACTGGCTGGGGTCGTGCTACAATGTTGTCTAATTGTCTTTTTTGTTTTTAATCCTCACTCCTGCGCTGGAGAACCTGTTGACTGACTGAGCTGGCTTGGTCACCCACGAACATACACAAAAGGATTTTGTATATGCGTTGCTGGGCATGGTAGTACATACCTTTAATCACAGTACTAAGGAGGCAGAGGCAAGCCAATCTCTGTGAGTTTCAGGCCAGCTAACACTACAAAAATCAAAACCAAGAACAACAAAAAACCCTATCTCAGAAAAAAAAAAAAAAAGGAATTTTAGTTATTTTACAAGACAGAAAGTATGACACACACAAATGGGTGCCACAGCACGTGTGTGGAAGTCAGAGAAAAAAATCATTTACAACTCCCCAAAGGAAGATGAAATCTAAATCTAAGATGAAATTAGGAAGATGCTAATCTCTCAGGACAGCTTCCACTCCCACATCAGGTGACTCCCAACTGCCTGTAACTCCAGCTCAAAAGGATCTGTTGCTCTCTTCAGGCCTCTATCAGTACCTACACTCACATGTACATACACCCCCCCAGAGACCCTATATACATAACCCCAAAATAAATACATATACATAAATAAAAAATAAAATTAAAACGGTAATTTTCAACAAACCATGTTAAAACTATTTTCTAAATTCCAGCAAATTCCATCTATGTATCTCCAGTGTCTGAAAAGTTAATGCAGGAAACAATGATGGAAGAGTCCTCACAGACAGCATTTTATCCCAGGAAACAGCTACTGTAAAAGTAGATCCATGGAAGATTCTACAGTCAGGCTTTAAAAGGCAAAGCACAAAATTCACTAAAAATGGGTGGTGCTAGAGATTAAAATCAATAAGGAATTTCCAATGATAATGCTTTAAGATAAGAGACCTTAAAATCCAAAGGGTGGGTTAATTTAGAGAAACAAAGTGTAGAAAAAAATCTAGAGACACATCCTGGAAACAGGTATTTGCTTGCACAGGGAAAGAGACAGATCTATCATACTTGAGCACCCAAAAAGTTACTTTCAGCTATAGGTATGAGATAAGGCCCAAGACTTCAGCATTGGGCAAGACATCCAGCCCAAGAGATCTAACAGGCTTCGTCAAATGGCCTCAGGCTACAGCAGCAAAAAGCCATCCACTGGGGAGGCAACATCCTGGGTCCTAAGTCGATGGTTCACATTGCCAAGCTGGAAAAGGCTAAGGCTAAAGAACTCACCACTAAACTGGGTTTAAAAAATGTACATTAAGTTCTCTGTACATAAATATAATTACAAGATTAAAAAAAAGGAATAGGAAGGTTGTTTTGAATCTTTGTTACATTGTATTTTACAGCCTAGATTAAATAAGAAAGCAGCATTTAAAGTATGCTATTAGCAGACATATTACTTAAAAGATCTGCCGGGCGGTGGTGGCGCACGCCTTTAATCCCAGCACTTGGGGGGCAGAGGCAGGCGGATTTCTGAGTTCGAGGCCAGCCTGGTCTACAGAGTGAGTTCCAGGACAGCCAGGGCTACACAGAGAAACCCTGTCTCGAAAAACCAAAAAAAAAAAAAAAGATCTAAACTATCTTGGTGCTAGAAAGACAAGTTGCGGTGACCACTCCTCACGGGACATGACAATCTAGAGAACTGTTTTTCTGGAAATGAATTTTTTATGTTCCAAGCTGGCTTCAAAATCACCATTTGGCCTATCCTTAAACACCTGATCATCCTGCCTTCTACTTCATGTGCTGAGATTATAAACCAGTACCTTGACAGACATCTTTGAGCACTTTTTTGAAAAATACAGATTAAATATACCTGATAAGGTTAGTATAAATAACTGAGCCGGGCAGTGGTGGCGCACGCCTTTGATCCCAGCACTTGGGAGGCAGGGGCAGGCGGATCTCCGAGTTCGAGGCCAGCCTGGTCTACAGAGTGAGTTCCAGGACAGCCAGGGCTGCACAGAGAAAGCCTGTCTCGAAAAAAAACAAAACAAAACAAAACAAAAAAAATGTTTTCTTTATAAGAGCTGCCTTAGTCATGTTGTCTCTTCACAGAGATATATAATGGTAACTAAGACACAGCAACAGAATGAAACTTGATCATCTTAGTTACAAAGAGTATAAAAGAGAAAAAAATAATGGGATACTTGAGAAACAGAACTCTTTTAAATCATTGGCAGAAATGTTAATGAGGCTGAACCTGGTAGCTCAGGACTATATCCCGACTTTTCAATACTGTCATGGTGGTTTAAGTTCAATGCCAGCCTAGTCTACAGAGAGAGAGAGAGAGAGAGAGAGAGAGGGGGGGGGCGGGGGGGAGGGGGGGAGGGGCGGGGAGGGGGGGGGAGGGAGACAGACACAGACAGACTAGCAACTTTAAAAATATATTTTTTAAGCAGAGAGGGGAGAGGGGTGTGGCTTACCAGTAGGGCACTAGGTAGCATGCTCAAGACCATAGCATGATGAGTCCCCAGCAGTAAAGAGAAAAGGATATAATGAGTTCAAAGTAGTATATGTTTTAGCTTGGTTCAAGGTTAAGAGTCCATCATCAGGGAAATTAATGGAGGAACTGAAGCTGAGACCATGGCTTATTCTCTATGGCTTTCTCAGTTCCCTACGGACTGCCCCCAAAGTGAGCTGGGCCTTTCCTCATCAATTTAAAAAAAAAAAAAAAATGCCCTACAGGCTTACTATAGGCCAATAAAATAGAGGTATTTTCTCAAGGAAGGTTCCCTTTTTTCAGATAACTCTAGCTTGTATCAGGTTAACAACAACAACAAAAAAAAAAAAACAAAAACAAAAACAAACCAACAACCAGGATGGTATAGCTCCTCAAAAAATTAAAAATAAACATACAGCAAGCTATACATATGTCATTACTGGATATATGCCCAGTATACTGGGTATATATGTCAATACAATAGCAGCACTCATTTTTACTTCAATCCTATTTACAATAGCCCAGATGTGGAATTATCTACAAGGGGTGGGCAGCATCAAAGACTCACCCAAGAAAAACAAAATCATACCATGAAAGCTGCCTAGAGTTGGATAATAAAAAGCCAGCACTGGCAGTGTATGGCAGTGTAATGCCAGCACTCTGGAGGCAGTAGTGGGCATGTATCTTTTGAGTTTCAAGCCAGACTGGTACATATAGGGAGGAGTTTTAGGTCAGCCAGAGCTACATAGTGAGACACTCTGCCTCAGAAAAACTCAACCTCACACCAGCACTCAGTCTTCAACTATGTCCATCTCCTAAGAACCCAAAATCAAAACATGGAGTTCAATCCCTGAATCCATGTGGTGGAAAAGAACTGACTCCCACAGATTGTCTTCTGCCCTCCACAAATGTACCATCGCAGGCACATGCCCACATGTAGATATATAAAATAAATGTTTTAAACATGTATTTTATGTATCTGAGTGCGCTATTTGCACATACGTATACCTGCATGCCAGAAGAGAACATTACATTTATGTATGTGAGTATACTGTTGCTATCTTCAGACACACCAGAAGAGGGCGTCAGATCCCATTATAGATGGCTGTGAGTCCCCATGTAGTTACTGGGAATTGAACTCAGGACCTCTGGAAGAGCAGTCAGTGCTCTTAACTGCTGAGCCATTACTCCAACCCCAAAATGTAATAAATCTTTTAAGGTAAGATCCCACCCCCACACCCCCACCTCCGAGAGCTGGAGACCGAACCCAGGGCCTTGCACTTGCTAGGCAAGCGCTCTACCACTGAGCTAAATTCCCAACTCCAAGGTAAGATTTTTTAAAAAAAGATTTATTTATACGAGTACACTATAGCTGTCTTCAGACACATCAGAATAGAGTATTGAATCCCTATTACAGATGGTTGTGAGCCACCATGTGGTTGCTAGGAATTGAACTCAGGACCTCTGAAAGAGCAGTCAGTATTCTTAACCCGAGTCATCCCTCTAGTCCAAGATTTTTTTTAAAAAAAGAAGTTAACTCTATCCTTCAGAAGAAAACCAAGTTACTAAGAAATTTTTGCCACGGGCTGGAGAGATGGCTCAGCGGTTAAGAGCACTGACTGCTCTTCCAGAGGTCCTGAGTTCAAATCCCAGCAACCACATGGTGGCTCATAACCATCCGTAATGAGATTGGATGCCCTCTTCTGGTGTATCCGAAGACAGCGACAGTGTACTAATAAAATAAATAAATAAATAAATAAATAAATAAATCTTTAAAAAAAAAAAAAAAAAGAAATTTTTGCCACATCCTGAAAGATAAATCTCTTAGCACTCCAATTCTGAAAATTAAGTTGTACAATCTCTTCACAAATATGCAATTAAATTACCAGGGATTCCCACTCAACCCAGTCTGGTCTACATCGTAGGCTTTAGGACAGCTGAGGCAACTAGAGACTCCATCTCAAAACAACAACAAAAATAAACAACAAAACTACCACAAGTGTGTGTATACAGATAATTTCCTTGTAGCTAGGGATATATAGCAGGACAAATTCTTAGCATGCATGGGGCCCTCAATTCAATCCCTAGTACACAAAAAATGAAACATACTATTTTCCTAATAAAAACCATTTAGTTTTAGATGTTTTCTGAGGGGGTTGTTACAGACTCACAGAAATCTGCCTGCCTCTGCCTCAAGTGCTGGGATGAAAGAGGTTCCTACCACCACACCTGACTGAAACTACGATCTTGAGAAAGTCTTTTAAAAAGTGAAATAGTGAAAAAATTAAAAAAAAAAAAGCCTTACCTTGCCATTAACACCAATATTCTTACAGAACCCCCTACATAAAAAAAATATGATCTCATATCAAGAATCATCATCATATCAAAACACGAAAATGAATTAAAAACTTACCACCCCTGTTCGTTTTTATACTTGTAAGCAGCTCCAAGAATGTGACACAAGGTGCCTCCAGCTTTGAAATCCATGAAACATTTTGCCTACAAACCACAAATTGCACAAGAGAATAAGAAAATGTTTCAATAACATCATGTTATACTTGAAATGTAAAGACTCCTATCAGCAAGAAAAGTGCTCTACCAGTCAACTGTACTGCCAGGCCTCCTTTTGAAGTCTAGTTTTCAGACACCTTGGCTAATCTCAAGCTTACTCTATAGTCCAAGGAAGCCTTAAAAACTTTTACTTCAGCCTCCTAGTAACCTGGATTATATACTTGAACCACAAGGTCTAGCTCACAGTGCTATTTTTTATTTTTATCTTATTTATTTTTGTTTTTTTGAAACAGGGTTTCTCTCATGTAGCCCTGGTTATCTTGGAACTCACTCTGTAGACCACACTGGCCTAAAACTTAGAAACTCACCTGCCTCTGCTTCCCGAGTGCTAGAATTAAAGGCGTGCACCACCACTGCCCAGCTTCTGTTTTTTAAAAATAGGCTCTCATGTAGCTCATGTTGGTCTCAAATGAGCACTGTAGCCAAGACTGACTTTCAACTTTTAATCTTTCTGCCTCCATCTCATAAGTACTGAAGAAACAGAGGAATGAGCTACCATAACAAGCTAAAAGAAAGGGGTTTTCCTCCAGCTTTAAAATTATATTTACAGCTGGGCAGTGTGAAATCCTATTTCAAATAAACAAAAATAAATAAATGAACAAATAAAATCAAATCACATTTACTAGGCTGGAAAGATGGCTCAGCACTTGAGGTTACCAACACACAAGTGGCGACTCAACTATCTAACACTCTAATTCTAGGGGTCTGAGGCTCTCCTGACTTCTACAAACCCTGCAATCAAGCACACAAACCTACACTCAGACACACAGATATACAAAATAATTAAGAATTTTAAAAAGTCTTAAAAGTAAAAAAATAGTTGGCGCGGGGTGGGGAGAACCTAGTGATGGTGCACACCTTTAATCCAGCACTCAAGGCAGAGGCAAGAAGATCTGAGGCCAGCCTGATTTAGACTGAATTCAAACACAAACTGTCTCAAAATAATAAAAACAAACGAAAAATAAAGTATCAATGCTGTTAATTATCCTTCTCATGCAATTTCCTTTTACAGAATCACAAACCAGAAAAATCTTTCATTTGAGAAAATGTTAATTTCAATTTTGAGAGGAAAAGAAACATCTGGTTGTCTGGCCCTCAGCCATGAATTATTTTTAATTATAGTTTATGACTAAAAATATTCTCCTGTAATCAGTCAACCCTTAGTAAATAATGGCTTCCATGTCCAAAGCACCCTATCCTGTCATTTTGGGTGACGACACTTAGATATTCAGAATTAGGAATAACAAAGGAATGAGAATCGTATTTTAAAAATAAATATCTTCTTTGTTTTTGTTTCTAAGTAGCTCTGGCTGTCCTGGGGCTCACTACTATATTGACCAGGCTGGCCCTGAATTCAGAGATCCAACTGCCTCAGCCTCCCAAGTGCTGGGATTAAAGGTAAAGGTATCTATCTTTATACCAGACTTTAAAAAACAAAACCAAGTAAAAAGCTTTATTCTAGAACAGCCAGAGCTAGAGACTGTCTCAGAAACAAAAAGTATTTTATAGATGCACAGATTTTACTCTAAATCATGTAACATGTGATAAAATATACTAAGTATTATGCTGCTATAGATATATTGTAGGTTTATTTTATGTATATGGCATTTTGCCTGCATATACACACATGCACCATGTGCATAACACACATAGAAGCACACATATAGATAAATAAAAATTAATAGTCATGAAAAAATTGTATTAACTGAGCATGGTGACAGACAATTTTTTTTTAAGATTTATTTATTTCATGTATGAGTACATATGAGGCAGAGACACAAAGGCATAATCGTTGAACTCACGGCCAGCATGGCCAACAGAGTACGTTACAGGACAGCCAAGGCTACATAGAGAAACTGACTAAAAAAAAAAAAACCCAAAACAACTAAACAAACAAACCAAAAGAAAGAAAAAAAATTTAATTGATAAAATTTGTATTTATTAGCTGGAAATGGTGGTGCATGACTTTAATTTCAGCACTTGGGAGGCATAGGCAGGCAGATCTCTGTGAGTTGCAGGCCAGCCTGGTCTACTGAGTAAGTCCAGGACAGCAAGGGCTATGAACATTGAGAAATTCGAAAGATAAAACACTGTATTTAGCCAGGCGGTGGTAGCGCACACCTTTGATCCCAGCACTTGGGAGGCAGAGGCAGGCAGATTTCTGAGTTCGAGGCCAGCCTGGTCTACAGAGTGAGTTCCAGGACAGCCAGGGCTACACAGAGAAACCCTGTCTAGAAAAAAAAAAGAAAAAAGAAAAAAGAAAAGAAAAAGAAAGAAAGAAAGAAAGAAAAAAGGAAAACACTGTATTTACTTATTTTGTGGTAAGGAACACAAGCGATACAGCACAAGAGTAAACATAACAGGATGACTTAAGAGAGTGCGCTTTTCTGTCACCGTGCAGTTCCAGAGTTGGAATTCTGGGTTATCAAGCAGGGTAGCACGTGCTTTCATCTGCTCAGCCACCTCACTGTCCCTTTATTTAATTTTAGAAGTATATGCACAAGGCCCTAGGCTCAAAAACCAGAAAGAAAAGATGTCTCCAATTCCGTACAAGCATGCTCTTGCTGTGGCTCTCCACTAGAATACTACAGTTCTCTGACTGCTGAGGACACTCATCTTGTTCACTGTTCTCTTCTGCAGAAATTCATTTACATACTTCACATGGCAGAGAAGGCAGAAAGTCAAGGTGCTTGCTACCAAGCCTGGTGACTTGAGTTTGTTCCCTGTGCCCCACGTGGTGGAAAAATCCGACTCCTGGGAGTTGGTCTGGCCTCATGCTATTATGGCAGGCATGTGTCCAAACACATACAAGCACACACAAGTAAATAAACTTAAAATTTCAATTAACACACACACACCTCTAACAGACAAGTATCAGTATAGACAGCACAGCCGAGAGCAACCCTAACAGAAAAATATTACTGCTCTGTGATTGTCGCAGAACATAGAAGACATTAAATGGCATAGCCCACTAGAATTCTACCACTAAGCTGAAAATGACAGCATAGCCTATGACCTCAGCTCAAGAAGTGAAGGCCAAAGAACAGTTCACAGCCTGCCTCTAATATAGACGGCTCCAGGACAGCCCTGGGTTCTGTGTGATGTCTCACAAACAAACAAACACGCACCTCCTCTGTACAAGTTGTTCCCTCCACTCCTATACTGCCTGGCAACAGTAAGGGAAATCAACTCTAAGTGACACCTAAAAGTACAGAAACTGAAGCTGCTAACAAGTTCACCCACTTACAGGTAGTTTGGTGAAAGCTGGGTTGGTGACATGCTTCCCAAAGGCATCTTCTTGGAACTGTAGAAGCTGCACCACCAATCCAGCCAGTGTTTTATTGGTAGGAGCATCCGCATGAACATACTGCAAGATAAAGACACATTCAAAACCTGGTACAGCTAATGCTGGAGAGAAAGCTACACTACATTAGTTCCTAGTACCTACTAAGTAATGGCACTATACCACATTTTAGGTGTATAAAGTTCATTCTCCACTGTAAAGAATCATAAAAATAGTACATGTACATACTTAAAGGCAGATCATAAATGCTAAAGAGATGGCTTAGCAATTATGAGTAAATGCTCTTACCCAAATGGCAGTTCAGAAATGTCTGTAACTCCAGTTGGAGATCCCATGACCTCTCCAGGCCTGAGGATACCAGTTATGTATGGGGTACACAGACATACATGTAGGAAAAGCACCCATAAGCAACCACACAAAAAAGACTAACTGGGCTGGAGCGATGGCTCAGTGGTTAAGAGTACTCACTGTTCTTCCAAAGTACCCTTGTTCAATTTCCAGCACCCACATGACAGCTCACAACTGCAACTACAGTAATAGAGGATCCAACACCCTCACAGAGACATACATGCAGATTAAACAACAATGCAGATAAAAATGAATTAATCATTTTAAAAAAGGCAAGCCAATGGTAAAGACAGGAAGTAGTTTCATGACAAAGGAGGTGTAACTAATGAATTAACTGCAGAACCTTTGATAGAGCTGGAGGGATGGCTCAGCACTTGAGTGCATGGCTGCTTTTCCAGAGTGTCCAGGTTTGATTCCCAGCACTCACACGGCAGCTCAAAGCCATGCTAATTCCTGATGACCCAAAGCGCTCTTCTAGCTTACACATACACCAGGCAAACTTTGGTAGAGATATGCATGCAGGCAAAATACCCACACATATAAATTAAGAACAAATTTAACTTTTTTTTTTTTTTTAATTTGAGCCCACTATTGTGGCTCATCCTCATAATCCCAAAACTCTAGACTTGAAAGGCAGGTCTGCAAGGAACTGACGACCATTCTAGCCAACAAAGGGAGTTTTAGGGCTTCTGAGTACAGTGATTTTTGGTCTTTTGAAGTGAAGTCTTATGTGGGCCAGGCAGAAAGAAAGAGACCTTCCATGTCTCATTTGTTTCATATTAATTGCTGATATTTAAATTTCTGTTCTAGTGCTGACGATGGCTCAGAAGATAAGAATGCTTGCTGCTCTTCCCAAAGACTAGAGTTCGGTTCCCAGTACCCATACCATGCAGGTTACAACTGCTTTTACCTCGTTTCACCGAATTAGATGCCCTCTTCTGGCCTCTGTGGACATCCACATGCACGTGATACACACAAAGAAACCTTTAAATTTATATGTTCTAAATAAACTGTAAAATGCAATAGAAGTGACTAGTAAACCAGTGCAGTGGCACATGCCTACAATCCTCGGCAGAAGACAGGCAGGCAGATCTTTCTAAGTTTGAGGTTAGCCTGGTCTACATAGTGAGACCTTGTTTCAGAAACAAGGGAGAGAAGGTAGAGGAGAAAGAGGACAAAGTTTAGTATACACCAAGCAGAAGTAAGTCAACTCTATTTCTGACTTCAAAGTCTTAGAGACATGATCACTTCTGAAAGCACCAGTTTATTACCAAAGCAACCCAAGGTCTCTGTCAGACACAAATAGGCTTCACTAAGCTGCAGACACTGAGTGAAATGGTTCAGACTAGTTTGTCCTTTAGTTTTTTAGGACAGGGTCTCCACTAGTAGTCTAGGTTTGCCTTGAGTTTCTTAGGTAACAAAGATGGCCTTGAACTTCTGATCTTCTTGCTTACACCTCTCAAAAGACTGCAGTAGCCGGGCAGTGGTGGCGCACGCCTTTAATCCCAGCACTTGGGAGGCAGAGGCAGGTGGATTTCTGAGTTCGAGGCCAGCCTGGTCTACAGAGTGAGTTCCAGGACAGCCAGGACTACACAGAGAGACCCTGTCTCGAAAAACCAAAAAAAAAAAAAAAAAAAGACTGCAGTAAGAGCTACCAATGCCTGGTTTTAATGTGGTGCTGGAGTTCAAACTCTGGACCTAACCCATGCTAAGCAAACACTCAACAAACCGATTTAAATACTAGGTCCTAGTTTAACTTTTCATTCATTCAACAAACAATAAACAACTATTAAGCAAGATGAGGCAGTTACATGTCAACTATGAGACAGAACATGGAGTTGCATCTTCACGATGGCAAATCTCAACATCCATTCTAGGTCCTCAATGGGGTAACCACTACTACTGATTTTAAGAGCAGAGGAAGTGTTTTGGCTGTTTCATTTTATCAACTAAGGGAGTCATTCTTCAACATTTATATAAAGGTGAAATTTTACTAGAGGTATTATTGGGGCCAGTGAGGTGGATACACGCTGGTAAAAGCACTTGTTACAAGCCTCACAACCTAAGTTCAATTCCTGGACCCGTATGGTGTTAGAGGAGAATCAATTTGCTTAAGTTGACATGCAAACAGGAGCTGGGTGCACCCCTCCAAAAATAAATAGATGCAATTTTTTAAAGTATTAACAAAGGGTTAATTCACAACTTCGTAAAACAACTGACTCAGCAGAATTTGCATTCAAAAGCACGGGAAACACGAGTTTTTAAAAAACATGATTAACACTACAAAAAATATAGATATGAACTGAGCTTTCAATTGTACTCACATCTTTACACGTCACCTAAAGTACAATGAAGTAGAAAACCAACACTTTTAATAGTCCTGAATCAACCCTACAATGCAAGGTTTAAACCTACATTAATCCACAAGGTCAGTCATCCAAGGTCCCCTACGAATCCACACAGGGTAGCAAGTCCTGAGTTACCTACCCGCTTAACAACTGGTCTCTAAACAAAACTTAAAGATACTTTTATTAAGATGGGCTCTTTGTTCCCACACCTAAGGCAGCTAACAAAAGAACAGAAACACACGCTCTACGACTCTGTCCAGCTCTACCTCTTCTGCACTTAAGAGCGAGCGAGCTGGGACTTCCCACGCGAGTGCGTGGGCCCCTGAGAGCCAGCAGCTGGGCCAGATCGCCGCGTGCCTAGAGTCGCCCGCGGGGGCGTGGCAAGCGCCGAGCCGGCCTTTGTTGTCCCTCGTGGCGCGCGGAGGGGGGGAGGGGCAGCCCGAGGCTTGAGAAGCCAGCAGCCACCATCAGCCCCCGTCGCGTGGCTCCTCGGTCCCCATGGGCGCGCGCGAACCCACCTTCTTGTAGTGCTTGCCCAGCCAGACTCGCACCGAATCTAGCTGGGACACCGTGTCCGGGCTCTCCCAAAACTTGCTGGCCGGGCCCCCGTCCTTCCTCCGGTACACAGCCAGCCCGGAGGCCGCCGCCGCACCCCCTGCACCCACAGCGCCTGCTGCTGCTCCCGGACCGCCACCCGCTGTCGCGGCCATAGTCACCGTCCGTCGTGTCTACCGCCCGGCCTAGCCTGGCCCTCGCGGCGTTTCCCGTTCGCACCCGCGCGCGCGCGCGCAGATACTACCTCCTCCTCCTTCTAGCCCCGCCCAACCAACCCTCTTCCGGTGCCGAGGCGCGGACACGCCCCTTCTGGACCCTGGAGCTGCAACGGACAGGCGCTAAGAGCGGTCGTACGCATGCGCAGCACGCCAGTCGTCCGCTACAGAAAGAGGCTGCGCGCCTTTTCCTCTGGTCTCTCAGGACTGAGCTCCAGCCTTTGCTCTTAGTGGAAACTACGAATTACTCTCCTGGGCTTCCATTGTCTATTCGTTAGGCGATCAACAACCTCAAGGAAGTTCTGTATCACTGTTTGAGAAAGCCGTCTAGGGTGTGCAGTGCGAGCCAAGGGGCCAACCCCGAGCCCTAGTAAGCAATTCCTGCTGCGCCTGGAGGCCGCGTCCGCTTTTGGAAACCTGCATTCAGGACCCAATCTTGCTTGGGGCTTGGGCTTCACACGCACTCGGGCCTTCATTAATGTTTCTCGAACCACATCAGATGGTTTCTGCCTCGTCGGCCTAGCTCCAGCTACTCCTGCGACCTCGACATTATCTTCCTTTGTGATAGTCGCACTTCAGGGACTCTCAAATTCATCACTTTAAAAGTATTCCAGAGCCAGGCGGTGATGGCGCACGCCTTTAATCCCTGCACTTGGGAAGATTTCTGAGTTCGAGGCCAGCCTGGTCTACAGAGTGAGTTCCAGGACAGCCAGGGCTATCTATACAGAGAAACCCTGTCTCGAAAAACCAAAAAAAAAAAAGTACTCCAGGAAACCAGTCCCTGAGTGAAGAGGTGATCACAATCACCCAGTGGTTTATTTGTAGCTCTCTCTTCAACCTTGTGTTTTTATTATATCATCGGCATTGGGAACAGGACGCTTTATCTACATTTGATGAATGAATAGTCTATGAAGGCTGAAAGTTTAAATTGTAAACAATGTGACTGGCTGTATTGGAAACATGAACATCATAATATATGATCCTGAAGCTCTAAGAGAAGAGGTGTGATGAGTCTGTCTACCTTAAAAAAAAAAAAAAATCTAGCCTGGAAATCGTGGTGCACACCTTTAATCCCAGGAGGTAGAAGCAAGAGGTTCTCTGAGTTCCAGGCCCGCATGATGTACACACAGTTAGAAATCCAGGACAGCCAGGCCTGCAGAAAAACCCTGTCAGAACAAACAGTCTGTCTCAGGCTATGTATTTGGCTCAGTTCTCAAAAGCCTGGTAACCTGAGTTGGAACCCCAGAACTCACATAAAAGTGGAAGGAGAAATTCTTCATTAAGTTATACCGTGACCTTTGGGCTGTGTGCTGTGGCACACATACATCACCCATACCTAATTCTGGGTGGTCATAATCCCAGCACTCAGGAGATAGCTGAGTTTGCCTGTTAACATAGTGAGTTCCAAGACTACACACAGAGACCCTGTCTCAACAATAAAATGGAGCAGGGCAGTGAAATGGCTCAGTGGGTAATACAACAACCTAAGTTCAATTCTGGAACTGGAACAATGGAGAGAACCAACCAACTTGCATGTCCTCTGATTTCCACAGGCAGCCCAGGATAACATGTTTGTCATGGCACATTCACACCACACACATAAGCAATGTAAATGCATAAATGTAATTTTAAAAATGTTTTAAAAAGAAAAAACTTGGTCCCAAAAAAGTGGATTATGCCACTTAAGAGCTTAAACTCTAGAACTACTAATAGCTAGTGTCTGTGAAGCACTATGTACTTCTGTAGTATGCTTTGCACTAAGCACACTTATTGCAGATAAGAAAAATGAACCATGGACAAAATGAAAGAGCAATCATAGAGAAGTTAAATAACAACTGACAGGTAGTAGAGTCTGGTTTGGTTTTTTATGTTTCTGAATCTTTTATTCTCCCATATATGTCTGTGTACCACATGTGTGCCTAGTGCCCATGAAAGTTAACAGAGGGCATCCCCTGGAAATGGAGTTACAGATGGTTGTGAGCTGCCATATGGGTTCTGGGAATCAAACCCATTTCCTTTGCAAGAACAAGTGTTCTTAACTGCTGAGCCAGAATAACCAGAAATTACATCTGAAGTAAGCATTCAAGTATATTGTGTTATTTGTTTTTTTTTGTTTTTTGTTTTTTTTGTTTTGTTTTGTTTTTTCGAGACAGGGTTTCTCTGTGTAGCCCTGGCTGTCCTGGAACTCACTCTGTAGAACAGGCTGGCCTCGAACTCAGAAATCCGCCTGCCTCTGCCTCCCAAGTGCTGGGATCAAAGGTGTGCGCCACCACCGCCCGGCAGTGTTATTTGTTGATAGTACAATGGAGACATAAAAATGCATAGGACCCTGTGTAATGTAATTCTAGTTTCGGGGAGACGGGTCAAGGAGCTCAAGACCATCAGCTACCTCATATTCAAAAACAGTTTACATGAACATGAGACACTCTTTTTAAAATCTATGTTGAGGGTCTATGAAATAGCTCACTGGATAGGTGAAGGTACTTTGATCAAAGCGTACTGGACTTCAGAAACCATAAGAAAGTAGGAAGCAATCTTTGAAAGCTATGCTATTCTCTGACCTCCCCCTCCCAACCTAAAATTTGTTTTGAGGCTGGGATGTGCTATAGCCTAGATTGATCTGAAACATTATCTAGCCCAGGCTTGTCTTGAACTCGTCAATATTTCCTCAGCCTCTCTAAGGCTGGGATTACAGGTATAACCTACCACTCCAGGCTAGAAATCAAATAATGTTTATACATTGTATACTTATATTGGAATGTCAGATTGTTTCTGATAAATATAAAGAATTGCTAGGTGTCAAAAATTAAAAGCCCAATATAGTGGCAAATGCCTCTGATCTCAGCACTTAGAGTCAGAGATAAGCAGATCTCTGTGTCTTTGAGTTTATACATTGAATACCAGGATAGCCAGAACTATGTAGAGAGACTGTCTTTGTCTCATAAAACCAAACCAAAACCAACCACCCCCCCCCCCAAAAAAAAGGGGGGAAAGAAAAAAAAGAAAAAAACCTCAAAGTGTCAGGCCTTTAATCCTCAAACTAAGACACAGGCAGACAGATTTTTGTGCACTGGTGGCCAGCCTGGAGTGAGATCCTGTCTTAAAACAAAGGAACTCAAGAGATGGCTCAGTTGTTAAGAGCTTTTCTACCAGAGAACCTGGTTCAATTCCTAGCATCTATACAGTGGCTCATAACTGTAATTCTTCCAGGGGATCTGACCTGCACTGTACAGGCAACACAACCATTCAAACATACATGTATATACATATGGGAAAGCACTCCTTGTCATACAGAGCTGTAACCCCAATTCCTCAAGAGGCTGAAGTAATAGGATTGAAGGTTGCCATGTACCTTGGGCCACAAAGTGAATTCAAGGCCAACTTGGGCAAATTACTACAATCTTGTCTCCAAATCAAAAGTTAAAGCCAGGTGTGGTAGCAAGAGGTGTGCTCGACAGGAAGATCACTGAAATTAAGTTCAAGGCTAGCTGTGGCTACATGGTGTCACTAGGCTGACTGAACAAAAAAGAGGACAATGACAGTGTACTCATTTACATTAAATAAATCTTAAAAAAAAAAAGAGGGCTGCTGGAGAAATGGCTCAGTGAGAGAGTGACAGTGTACTCATATACATAAATATTTGGGTGGAAGAGATGGCTCAGTGGTTAAGAGCACTGACTGCTCTTCCAAAGGTCCTAAGTTCAATTCCCAGCAACCACATGGTGGCTAACAACCATCTGCAACTACAGTGTACTCATAGACATAAAATAAATCTTTAAAAAAAAAACAAAAAAATACTTGAGATAATTCAAAGTGAAGCTTGGGAGGGAGGGTGTTGGAGAGAGATGGTTCAGTGGCTAAAGGTTCTTGCTGCCAAATCTGATGACCTGAGTCTCTAGGGCCCACATGCGGGAAGGAAAGACAGAGTCCCACAAGTTGTCCTCTTAACTTCCACACAAGTGTTCCAGCACATATGCTAACATGCTCACAGGTTCAAGAACATTCACATCTACACATAAATTTACTAAAATATTTTCTAGAAAGTAGAGTATGGTGGCACATGCCTGTAATCCCAGCACCGGAGAACTAGAGGCAGAGGATGAGGCATTCAAGACCAACCTAGGGTACATAGCTAGTGTAAGGCTAGCCTAGGACACATGAGACAGACCCCAGAGAGAGGTTCCCATGTTGGAGCACAGCATCAAGGTCCTTGTGCCTACAGATCTCCAGAGAAACCAGAAATGTTAAGCACAGAAGATTGTCTTTTCAATTGGAAAAGTGTAAATGTTCTTTCATTCAGAAAGCTGGTAATTGCAAGTGATTAATAGCTTGGTGATATACATTATCTGTTGGGTAAGGTCATATCGAGCTCCTACAATAGGTACTATATGTAGCTAGTAATTTATTTTTTGTTTTGTTTTGTTTTGTTTTGTTTTGTTTTTTCGAGACAGGGTTTCTCTGTGTAGCCCTGGCTGTCCTGGAACTCACTCTGTAGACCAGGCTGGCCTCGAACTCAGAAATCCGCCTGTCTCTGCCTCCCAAGTGCTGGGATTAAAGGCGTGCGCCACCACCACCCAGCTTTTTTTTTTTTTAATTTTTATTTATTTATTATATGTAAGTACACTGTAGCTGTCTTCAGACACCCCACAAGAGGGCATCAGATAACATTACAGATGGTTGTTAGCCACCATGTGGTTGCTGGGATTTGAACTCATGACCTCTGGAATTGCAGTCAGTGCTCTTAACCACTGAGCCATCTCACCAGCCCTGTAGCTAGTAATTTAAATAAACCTTATAGGCAAGGGCTCCTCAAGATCACGAAACCAGGACCAGAGAGACCTAATCAGCTAAGTGACCCTTACATTATCTGCATAATCAGAGGCTTCCTCAAAGCTCCCACAACCAGGACCTAAGTTGGTTAATAGACCAAATGACTTCTATGCTATTTGTATGACTGTGAGTAGGCCAGACCCTTTTTTAGATCTTTAAGCTAGTA